ATAAGAGGATCCATCTTTGTCATTCGAAGGTCAGACAGCCTCCATGACTTCTATTAGCTATGACTTGTACTCCAGTTATGGCCATTCTTGTATAGGGATAGTCTGGCCACAGGGATTCATGGATTGGTAACCTCAAGGCTCAATTATTGCAACATGATCTATGCGGGGCTACCCCTGAGCCTGGTCCAAGGTTCCAGCTGGTGCAAAACACCACAGCTAGAATGTCGATGGAGACAGACCATCCCTCCAGTGGCCAAAACCTTGCACTGGCTGCCCATATACTGCTGGGCCAAGTTTAAAGTTCTTGTATTATGTTACAAAGCCCTTAAGACCTTGGGTCCAGGAAACCTCGGGGACTGCCTGATCTCTTAATGCCTAATTGCTGAGGTCTTGAGGGAAGTCACTGTTAGCGCTTCCCTCCTGTTTCATATCCATGAATCGTATCCACAAGGAGCAGTGTGTTCAGTTTTGTGGGTCCAATTCTGTGGCACTTCCATCCAGTTGAGATCAGACAGGCTCCCTCTATCTTAAAGTCACTGAAGACTTTTTATTTCAGCATACTTTTTAATCTGAATTCTGATTTTATAGGTTTAACTTGTTTTTAGTCTTATTGTATTGGGGTCCCATGTGCACTGCTTAGAGGCAGCTGTGATGAAGTGGCACAAAAATTGTTAAATAAATAGGCCATCATCACAGCTCTGCGACACTGGAAAACAACATTTTGCACCCAGAAGCAAGAGCATCTGAAGCTTGAGTATTCCACACACGCCCTTTTTGGCAAAAGGCATTCGGACTGAGGCCTGCCTCTTAAGTCTCCTTTCCAGGCTGTGATTGTTCGATTCCTGCCACTCAGTGGAATCGTGTGTGAAGTTTCTGATTTGTGTTGACTCCTCCAGAGTGGGAGAAAAAGCTGATCTTCAAAGGGGAAAACAGCATCAACCACTGATTAAAGTGCAGCTTTAGCATGCTGCTCAAACGCAACTGGGTGCATCTCACATGGCACATTCTGATTAGGAGCGTGCAGAAAACTCAAAGGAAGGATTTCTTTTTCTTTTTCCAGCAAGCTGATAGGCAGAATGATGAAAGTTTAAGGGATTTTTTAATAGCTTCGGATTTAAAACACAAAATGCAATTGAACTAAGTGCAGTAAATCCAATTAGTCACCCTGGCTCTGTCCTTTTATTAGTTATTTCATTGAGTTTTAATAGGCTCTTTGGCCCTGTCTAGAACAGAGGCAAGAGGGCTTTGACCTGAGGGAGGCCTGCACCAAAAGGTACTCTGTCAAATTAGTGATGCAAGCACAGAGCTTTATCTGCAGTAGAGTGCATGGTCTGTCCACCACTTTGCTACCCGGAACCAGCAGACACTTAGTGCTCCCTCCCCTGGCCACTGACAGATTTGCAGAACTGAAGAATGGGGAGACTACATAAGCATTGTCCTGGGGCACATTGTTAGGAGATATATTTCAAAGACTTGGTGAACTCAGGCAGCCCTCATACCCCGGGGGCTTCAGCATATACAAATTCCAAAAAGGTACACCATCCAAGCTGCAGTTTGGATATGGGTATTAGTGGTACACTGAGGCAATCCCAGTAGCACACTCTCTACTCCTGTTCATTGCCAAACAATCTGACTGCCTTGTCCCCATAGTCACAGTTATAGTACCAGTTAGGATACAGGTTTGTTTATTCCTCCTTTGCAGGAGGACAGGGCAACTAACCAACTGCTGAATGTCCCTCCAGTTGGGAGCTTCTCCATTCCGCTTTCCTACTTTTCATCTTACATATGGATCTAGTACCTTATCTTAGAGTCACAGAGTAGGAGTTTAGAACTGCATGATCTGAAGATGAGAACTAGAGTCAAGTAGAAGTCCATCTCACACATGGAACATAGGAAGCTGCCTTACACCAAGTCAGGCCATTGGTCTCTCAAATTTAGTATTTACGCTGCACTGACTGGCCAGCAGCACTCTAAGATTTCAGGCAGGGTTTACCCAGAAAAGCCAGGGATTGAACCTGAGACCTTCTGCATGGACATGCTGCTGCAGTTTCTGGATTTTACAAGAATCCTCACAACAATAGTGGTTCTGGACTACGTATTACAGTGATATCTTGGTTTACAACCATAATCCATTCTGGAGGTCTGGTTGTAAACCAAAACAGGTTGTAACCCAAGGTGCGCTTTTGCCGATGGGGCCTCCCCCCAAAAATTGGTTGTAATCCAAAAAAAGGGACACACACTTCAGGGTTTGCTGTGGTTGTAATCCAAAACGGTTGCAAACCAAGGTATCACTGTATGTGCAATACTTTAGGAAAGTATTGTTGTTTGTGAGCAGACATGACAAACTCCATTTCCGGATCACTCTTTCTTAGCTAACAAATTGAGCCAAACCTGGGTTTTGAAGGGCCCCTGCTCCAAGAGTGCTGAGTTATATGCCACATGTCAAAACTAAAATTAAGTGTGAAATTGCAGACACCTAGATTATTGAGTTAACCATCCATGGGAGAGCAGCAGGTCACACTATGGCTCTACAAATAGGTTTTACTATATAAACATAAAGCAAAGATTGCTAAGTGTATCAACATCTCTATAAGGAGCCGAGTATTCTAGGGCAGCTTATATACAGCAGAACAAGGACAAGCAATTTTTTTGTGACCCAATGTTTACAGCAGAGAAAGGTCTAAGCAAAGGTCAGGCAAAATTGTCCTGGAAATATCATCAGTGTTACATTTAAGTGGTCACTTAAGCTAAAGGTTGCTTATTGCTGGAGTCTGCAAATGTTGTAGATATTCACTCCCTGATAATCATGTTGTTTTATTTTTTCCATTTATTTATTGAGTAAATCGAACTAATAAAAACACAAACCATGACTGTCATGGGAACACTCCAAGGAGGAGTGATCCAGTGCGGCTGAGGAAAGGAGGGGGGTGCTGGCGTCAACTGTATTTTTACTCACAAAGCAATCAATACAGTTTAACACAAATAGTCCTTGAATGTTCCACATTGTGCATTGCTTTCCCAGGGATGGGAGGGGAAAGTATATTAATTTTCTCTCTCTCTCTCTCTCTCTCTCTCTCTCTCTCTCTCTCTCTCATGGTTTCATACATTTCTTTTGGACTTATTTTCCTTCTCTCTAGATCTTCACATCCCATGAAGGGACCTACATCTAAAGCAGGGCTGGGAAAACTTTGGCCTTCCAGATGTTGTTGAATTCCAATTTTCATCAGCCCAGCCAGAATAGCCAATGGCTAGGCAAGATGAGAGTTGTAGTCCGGTAGCATCTAGAGGGTGAAAGAGTTCTCAGCCCTGACCTATAGAATGACATAAAATAAAAACAGCTGCAAATGATTTTTAAAACAATACAAAAAATAACTGAAGATAAATTTTAAAACAATACAAAACGAACAGCAGTGGCAGAGAGACCTTTTCATTCAGATGGAAAAGCTTAGTGTGTAACAGTTGTTCTTCTGTCCTACACAGATTGGTGGTGGAGAGGGCAAAGTCGAAAAACGCCCATGGTCTACAGGCAAGAGCAGGAACACTTGAGGCTAAAGCTGTCTTTTTACAACCTCTTTATTCAAACCTAAGGAGACACTGCTCTGTTATGTGGATTAGTTTAATTACATTTCGTTATTCAGCTTCCACATCAAGCAGAATCAGAATAGGGAAACTGTACATGGAGATAAAACTGCTGAAACTCATGACAGACTCGTCTTCTTTTTTTATCATCTCCCAATAAGACCTACAGAGGTTAGGTATAGTAAGATCGCTTTTTAGGAAACATGAATTCATTATTTAAAGTCAGGTTACAGAATTTGATCTGTCTATGTTTAGTACTGAGGTCAGTCATGTATATATAGTATAAAAATCAAGCAGCCCTAAAATATACACACTAGTTACACATGTCATGTCTGGTAAGATCAGTCCACATATGCCTCAGCCAATATTTATCCTCTGTGCAAAAATCCTGTAAATTCCTTTTTGAAAGCAAAAGTCTGAGAGCCATTATGAGACTAGCCTCATCCCTGATGGCATTTAGACAGGCAGTGAAAGCAGTCCACGTGCCTTTAAATATATGACTGAAGGTTATTTTAACTGTTCCATTTTGGTTCTAATGTTTTAGTTTTAGTTTTTTGTTTGGCTTTATTTTCTTCTTTTATGTAAACCACTTTGGGGACCTTGTTAGGGCAGTGTATTTTTGAAGCAAATAAATGTATGTTCCTATTTCTTTAATTTTTTAAAAATACAGGTTCATAGGTTAGTGAGACATTGCTATGGGCATAAACCCTACTCCTCTTCTCTAATTATTTGCACAAGAATCCATTCCAAGTATTCTTTTTATAAAAAACACACCAAACTGCAGGTATGCAGGGGAGTAACCTGTAATATTATGACACAAATATTATTCACATAACAATTACAATAGCAGCAAATGAGCTATGTGGATGAAGGACTGCATATGTCAAGGTGCACAACACTTTGTGTGCTGAGTGAACACGATGCCCCCACAATCTTGAGGGAAGCTGTGATGTTTTGTTCAATGAATTTAAAACTACTGGCACCATTCCTTATCTTTTTAACTGACACGGGCTTTTCCATGCCTTTAACAGCTGTATGACAGGTGGGTCTCAACAGGTAAACCTCTTCGCATCACTTTATCTCCGTGATGCAGAGAAGTCATGGTGGTTTCTACCTACTACAGAGTTGTTAAATAGATGCTTTCTTTGCCCATTTAGAAAAGTGGCAACCTAGGAGAAAAGGCCACACAGAGGCTACTTTAAAGAGAAGAAGTAGCTGCTCAAGAATACCTTCCAAAATATGTTTCATCATTGGAGATGAATTATTCACAAGTGATGTCTGCTAACAATGACAATATTCTAAATATATAATGTAAACGGGTTTCTTACCTGTTCATTATGTTGTCAAGCTGGCATGCTGTACAATTCGCTTCCATCAAAGGTAAGGTGTATGCTCATTTAACCATTTGAAGATTGTATAGATCAGTTTGCTCCTATGTAGATGAAATAATCAATCAGAAATAATATTGGTCAATAATAAAAATGGCTCAAGAGGTTATTGCTTATTTTCTAACATAGCAGCTCATTCAAACAGTGCTGAAAAAGAGATAGTTCACAAAAACCACTTGCACAGTATCATATTATAAACGGAGTACATTTACAAGATACTTGGTGCAATTTCTTTAGATGCCATTTATTATTCCACACAGTCCTCAACATCCCTATTCAGAATTTACTATCCATGGATTGTAGCAACATGGTACAGAGTAGACTCATTTTTGAAGAGTGAAAGATGTTACCAGCAGAAATAATGGCAAGTGGAAGCAATTGGGAAAGGGGTCACAGAATTCTGCAGCCTCCTCCACATTTCTGAGGCTGTTCTGACACAGTTTATGCCAAGATTAGATACAGAAGCTTACATACAAAACATTTAGCAATAGGTTATCAATGGGATGTGACCTACAACACTGTTCCACACTTAACACAATAATATTTTATTATGACCTGCTGCTTGCAGACAAGTGAATCCTGCACTCTGCACATAAGCTAACATTTCAGCTAATTTTCAAGAAGAATGGCATTTCCCAGATCTACAGAAATTTCTACATCATGGTAACACTGGCCGTGGGACACTAACCTTCTGTGTCTCGCCCTGTGCATCTCCCTTTCCCTCTGAGAGTGCCACAGTGGCTACTTCCTTCCCCCGTGTCCGTAATTCTCATACCAATGACTATATTGTGCCCCTTTCATATTCTGGGACACACGCATCAGATTTGTCATTGAAGAATTGATGATTATGCAAGTCAGATCCCCTGTAACCCACATTGAATACAGCCTACTAGCTGTACATTGTGGCAAATGTACAGTGGTACCTCTGGTTAAGAACTTAATTCGTTCTGGAGGTCCGTTCTTAACCTGAAACTGTTCTTAACCTGAGGTACCACTTTAGCTAATGGGCCTCCCACTGCCGCCGTGCCGCCGGAGCACGATTTCTGTTCTCATCCTGAAGCAAAGTTCTTAACCTAAGGTACTATTTCTGGGTTAGAGGAGTCTAACCTGAAGCGTCTGTAACCCAAGGTACCACTATCCTACCATATTTTTTAAGTTGCAGGCAGACAGCAAAAACAGAAGGTTCACTGAGCTCCTACACTGCTGTGAAAGACTTGATGGGACACAACTTGTACAGATCTGAGCACAAGTCGTACAGATCTGAGCACAGAATTTAGTTTTGATTGGAGCAACAGGAAACATTTTCTTAGCACATTCAAACCTAGTTCCCAACATGGGTTAGGGACACTTAATAAAGCATAAGGGTTCAAAACAAAACTTTTAGACCAGACTGTAAACTGAAGCTAAGGAAAGCTGCAGATGTTTTGAGCATTCATTTTCTCTCCCAGCAATTGCTTTAATGGGTTGGAGCTCCTGGGAGACCATTTGACTTTTGCTCATGTCTATGCCATTCCTCCCTGTCATGCTGACTGTGCAAAAGCTTAAAGCTGTCAACAACCTGCATTCGGTATTATTTCAAGTAAAGAAAAATAAAGTGACATCTGATCTGTCAAGAGGAAGGTGGGGATTTTGTTCTGAAAAATAGAAAGCAAAAATGTTCTGTGCAGAATCAATAGTCAAATCAATATTGTGCCCTCCCACCAAAAGCTCAGCTTGGCCTGAACTGCAGTCTTCCTCTCACTGCCCCCATCCCCCCCGGTTACAGCAACCATCCATTAAAGTGAGTGAATGGAACTTACTTTGCCAGGACCACATCTTTGGTAAGTGTTTCTGAAGCAATACAGTAATGATTATTTTGCAGTATTGCATTTTAATAATTAAAATAAAGCACTGAGCATTATGCGCACCACTCTGTGGGAAATACTTCCCAGTAACCAGGGCCCTCAGAAAGCATAATTCACATTAGCAGAGAGATGCTTCCACAGAGCAGAAGCCAATGGCGATAGCATAAAGGTGACCCTGACTCATTCTCTCTCTTTCTAAAACAGAATCAACAACCAAGCTTTCAAAAACATGCTTTTCACCTCACAGAATTGCTTCTTTTCCAGTTCTTCCAATTAGAGAGAGAAGAACCTACTGCTCACAGTTACTGTCCACATCAGAATGGAAAACAATTTGCATAAAACAAGAGTGGGGGGTAAAAGAGGAGAATGAAATAGAAGACACACAGGCTGCAACAGAAAACATGTAGGAGATTGCAAAACCAATAACTAACAATCTACACCATACATTTAAAGCACTCTTACACTGCTTTAACAGTCATGGCTTCCCCCAAAAGAATCCTGGGAACTGTTGAGGGTCCCCCATCAACATTGTGTCCTCTCTCTGGAGAGGCAAGGTCAAAGGAAGCTTAATCTATTTCACCAGCATGTTTTGTTGGTTTTTTCCTCTTCATAAGGGGATTCATGTGGTCCACCACTGGGGCACATAATACTGCTCTAATTTTCAAAATGCACAAGACACCAAATGACAAGAATTTCGCCAGTATCTGAGAGGGAGTGTAGGGGAAAGGAAGGAAATCATTAAGTAAAATTGACAGGTCTTTCACCTTACTTTGTCAGTTTCATTAGAAACGATGATGATGATGATGTGACTTCAGTGGGCTAGGTGGGCAAATAATTCAGAAAGAAATCCATTCTCACACTGTCAGTAAGGAGGTCCATTAGGTCACGATGGAATTGCATCTGAAAAGAGTTACAGGGCAGTACGGGCCAGAACACACTAGCTGGAGGGGTTGTGACATTTAAAGAGGGGGATGCATAACTTGAACAGTGATAAGATGAATTAACTTATGTGGAGAAAGATAATTAAACCACCTGAAAATGCATGTGTGATTTCAGCCTTAGATTTGCAGACTGCATCCTGAAGGCAGTAACAGCATTTGTAAAAGGTTTAAAACACACATTCTTTCACACCAGCCCTTAAATAAATGCTTTCCACATTGCATCTAGAAAATATTATCCTGACTGAGTATCACTTTGGAAACAACCCACTGCTATCCTGCAAAAGAACTTTCAAATCCAGAGGGGCCTATTTTTTGTTTGCATACACATCAAATGTGGTTTACAGGAGAGAAAAGAGTCTTTATTGGACAAACACACAGCCTCTTCAGTTGTGCCTGCAACACTCCAAATAGACGCCAGACCACACCTATAAGGTAAGATTTCCCATTTTTGACCAGCTCTTGTCTTTGAAAAAGTCTTTAAGGACAGCCTCCTAGCAGATGAGACAATATTAACTACTACACTTTGCACAATGGTACGCATACAAATTTAAAAAGTGAACAAGCACCCCCCTCCTAATGTTCCCTGGTTTTGAAAATAACAGGCAAATGCTCCAAAACATACTGTAATTTCTTCAGATGTTGAGAAGTCTAAACTCAAAAGATTTCCCCCTATGTCTTTTGTCCTTCCCTTAAGTACAAAAAGTCCAATTTTGCACACCCTACATGAGGATTACTTCTGGACTTCACACAAGTCTATTCCAAATTGCAGCAAGGCCACTCACTTGACTTAAACTGGTACAGGAAAGACGAAGGACATTGCTTTAATCTATGAAGAGACACAGTTAAGCACTTTCCAGGGTTTTATGTGCAGGTTTCATAAAAATCCCAGATAGATAGATAGATAAGATTAGGTAACGCATTATCAGAGCCAGACTCACTAATGCCTCAAGAGCAAATGAAAAGAGTCATTGACTGACTATTAAAGTGTAACAAAATTACTGACAAGGAAATGGTTGGATAGCAGAGCTATAATAATTAGCAATACTTTTAATCAAATATTTTATATCTATCCATCTCAACAGTGGATAAACCAGTTCCCATCTCCTGTTCCCCGCAGTAACAGAGAGATTTTTATCCACGTTGCCAACAAAGACACATCTGCCTGAAGAACATACAGTGGTACCTCAGGTTACATACACTTCAGGTTACATACGCTTCAGGTTACAGACTCCGCTAACCCAGAAATAGTGCTTCAGGTTAAGAACTTTGCTTCAGGATGAGAACAGAAATTGTGCTCCGGCGGCGCGGCAGCAGGAGGCCTCATTAGCTAAAGTGGTGCTTCAGGTTAAGAACAGTTTCAGGTTAGGAATGGACCTCCAGAACAAATTAAGTACTTAACCCAAGGTACCACTGTACACATTCTTTTTGCCTCCTCCCCCTCCAATATTTGTTTTCTAACTTTTTCTATTGTCAAATAGTGTTCAGAATACAAACAGAAAATTAACCTTCCTGTTACTAAGCCCTTTGTCAAAAGTCATTTCTAAAGAAAAGGACCAGCAAATAAGAGAGGGGCTACTATGTTGAAACACAAAGGTTTTTTAACAGCTTACAGTGACTGGTGGTGGTTTGGGGTGTGGGGTGTGTGTGTAAAATGTATTCTTGAAGGAGTCCAAACTGAAGGATGAAAATAAATTCCATTTTCTCACTCGGTGAGAAATTCTGAATTTCTGAATACAACCCACCCACTTATTGAATGATTTTAATTCTGAGGTTCTTGTTAATGTTTACTTGTAATTCATAGGAACAGAGAAAGCTGCCTTGTATTGAGTCAGACCACTAAGCCCTCTTATATAAGCAGCAGCTCTCTAACGGTTCAGGGTGGAGGAATCTTCACCAGCCCTACCTAAAACATAGCTTCATTGTGGTGTCACTGCGATGCCAGGGTTTGAATCTGGGACTATGACACCACAGGTATAACCAGCCACCCAATTCTAGGCATGGCTTGTCTGGGATTTGAAGCCCAAAAGGGATCCTATCTATGTACTGAGAAACTTGAATGCATCACGGGTCAACCTTTCCATTAGACAAAGCAGCCTGGCTCAGGCAGCTGATTTTGGGATATCATTAAAAGGAAGCAAACCATACGTTGTTGTTATGCTTTTACTGCCATAGCACATGCTAGTTAGGTTTTCTGCCTCATGTAGCAAAATGTCTTTGGACATGTATGTACATACAAAAAAGCTCAACATGTACATACAAAAAAGCTCAACAACTCTGGTGAATCCTCCCCCAAAAAGCTCAACAACTCCGGGCAATCCTCCCCTTCCACCCACCCATCCACCCACCCCACACACGCTACTCCTCCCTCCAATGACAATGGGTAGATCCTGGCCAATTTTTTTATACTGGCTGTAGATCACAGTCTCTTGGGAGTTGGACGTGCCTGTTCTACATGAACATGATCTACAGTTCAAGCTCAGTCAAATCCCTTCTTGGTCAAAGATGCTGAGCTATCCAATCAAGGGAGATTTTTAACAGAGGAAGGTCCAGAAATCTCATGAAGGATCACACAGCACAGCTCTCAGTGTCTCAGAAATTAGAATTTTCATTTGCCATAAAATCACAAGAGCTGACAAGCAGCAGCCCGGACACTGCATCACCAGATCAGTTTCCAAAACCACAGAAAAAGTCAACACCGGGAGCTCACAAAGGAGGCATGGAGATAATGGTGTCCCTGTTTGTCTCAAGCAACTGGTACTGAGATACTGTCACTGCACATGGAGGTTCCACAGCTAATATATCTTTGTAAAACCTAAACTTATGAATTTGTCTGGCCCTTTAAAAAACCCACCTAAGCTAGTGGTGCACACGTTATGTTTGTCAAAATGTTGCTAAGCTACAACATGTACCTCTTTAAATGTAATGTTTAAAGTATATTTGACTTTTTTCACTTTGTACACATCATGGAAACAAACCTAGGGAAGGGTCTAATATCCTTCTCAGCTTCCAACACCATTTCCATTATATATACATAAGAATAAAAAGCCACAACCAACCACAATGCATGAGTTTTGAATGCCAACAACTATAAAAGGCAAATCTATAGCATAGTGTTGCACACCACTCCAATCTTCAAGCTGTCTGAGATTCCAGGGGTCCCACAGCCTTCGATCCCAGCCGAAATCAAACGCTGCTTTAACACTCTTTCCAGCTTGCTACTTTTTCTTCCAGTTTCTGGCTCACATCACTCAGCTCTCTACTCTGGCCTTTTGTCCTTCCATTTGCCATCTCACACAGATCCACTTCCTTGGTTCCCTTAATGGCCCATCGCCCAGGCGACCACCTCAACAGGAAGCTAGCCTGCCTTAAAATATAACACTTGCTGGATCCGGGGATTAGGAGGGTCTCTGCATACAGCCTACTTCCTCCCACACCAAGCTCATAACAATATATTCCTTGAAACTATAACACATGACAAAGCCTTCCATTTTCCAAGGACCCAATGGGAAAATAAGAATCACAAATTTAATGGAGTTGCTATGAAGATGAGTACTAGGAGGCTTGTAAAATGTGAAGGCCACAATCCAGACATGCCTGATTCCTGCTATTTTTTAACCCCCCCCCCCAAAAAAAATTATTACAAATCAAAACAAATTACTTTAATTTAATACAATTTCTTAAAATCAGGTTTCCTGCTCCTGTTGCACACATATGTCAATCATGTTTGGGAAAGATAGAAATTTTGTTCCTTAGCACTTAGGATTGTTTCACAGGTACACAATTTCCTATCACCACTTGATGATCCTGCTGAAAAGTATTATATGGAAGTACTATTTGTGCTACTGTCCAGGGCATGGCCTGAAGCAAAGACAAATGATGTAATAACCTTATGGAAGCTAAGCAGATCGGGGTCTATTAAGTGCAATGCCCAGATGGCTGAAAGGCTGGATATAAACGTAATGAATAAATGTGTGGTGATGACTCATTCACATGTGGAGGTCATTCCTTGAAATTGCACTCAGTGTGTAACAAACTTTGATGTGTGAATGAGCCTTTAGACTAGGCCATTTCTGTCACTTTATTGCAGAATGGAAATCACTCTGATAGCAGCTGCCTAAAATGGCATTGGCTACTGTTGCTCGGGCTCTGGGGACAGCACTTCCAAACTATTACTCACAGCATGATGACCATTTCAGCAGGTCACAGCAGATATTTTCCTGCTAGATTCTCACTTCCTACCCCTGCATCTTCTATACTAGTTTCCATCTTTAAAACTTTACTGTTTGCAAACTTTTGGAGCTTCCCTCCCCCCAACTCCTTTCCTTTTTCTTTGCTGGGCAATAAATAGCAACCCAACAAATGCATACAAATGGTTTTCCATTAGAATTTTAATGTACTCTTGGAATGAAAGAAAAGCTTAATATAAATCTTTTTTAAAAAAATAAATAAATAACCAGTACATAAATTCAGACTGGGACATTGCCACCTAGGCTGAGCTGGAGAGTTCACTGTCTGCTGTCCCCGTCGTAAATTAACTGAGGTCTCCTGCTGCTGTAAATGAATAGCGCATCTTGGAAAAGATCATATCTGTCAAGATTGCAGATTGGTTTTCTCTCAGAGTTTGCAAAAAGTCACAGCTTTACAATGCCTTCATTATGTCGATGAGAATGGCTTCCCAACTGGAAAGAAATGTGTGTTTTATTCCGTTAGGCCTAAGATTTACAGAAAAAGCAATTTTCCTTCACAGTCAAGATACAACTCCCACCCCCACGAAAAATGTCATTTCACGTCTTTCATTCAGTCACCTTTTTACTGACAAATGTATATTCTTTCAGCTTCATGTGTACTCAAGAATTGTGACATTTAATGGCCAAGTAAGGTTAATCACAGGTGAGTGCATATACCTGATGGATATTGCAGCCAAGGCTGTATTCTCTGCCTTAAGAGAAATTGAATGATCTGAGCATATGATCTGGTGTCTCTCACACTTCTGTAAATGTGGGTAGCTAATATTTCAATTCCATCTGGAGAGCTAGGAAATCCACCTCAAAATGTTACAATACGCTAGGACTGTGACCTAAAAGAAAAAAAGGAAGGTAAAGAGATATATATGTATATATTGTGCCCGCAAGTAGGGCTAGACGCTTCTCTCTTTCTGACTTTGCATGACTGCAGTGCACTTAAAGACAAGTGTAGAACTGTTTCTGGCTCAGCTTTTAATTTACTAGTTTCTGTCACAATCCTGGACATTATGTGCACTGACCTTGTACTTGGCTACATGAATGCAAATAGGCAGTTTTCTCAGGGCAAAGTGCCCTATTAGCATTCATTAATGCTAATGCTAATGTTACTCCTCGGTGCAGCATAAAACTCTTAATGCCAAGTTATTTGCTGAGGAGCAATATGAAAATTGCTACTCCACAGCGAGCCTAAGCCACCTGCTGCTCCAAATCAGCAAGAAGATAATGAAGTGTGTGTCTGCTTGCTTTTGTTACGTAAGTGACTATTTCAAAATGAACAGCAGTTCTAAGGCTGTCTTAAGGGGTGTTTTTTTTCGAGGTCTGAGACAAATGTGTTAATGAGGTCCCTGCCACCCTTTGTGCAGGCCAGTTTTGTTTGAACTTGCCACAGAGTTTTCACACAAAATGGTTGGTTTCATTTTTCACATACTTCCCTTCTCTTTCTTTCATTAGAAAGCTCCAAAACAACTGCCATTTAAAAACAAACCTGTTGTTCTGTTTCACCGTATCTTTTTACTTTTTACCCAAGCATATTTGCATCCCAGAGAAATGTCCCTTCCCTTGTACGATCATATTGCTGCAAGCCAGCGTGGAACCTTATGGTGCAGGGCGGTAGGAAATCTCTTAAATAAATTAAATCAAAGCTAGGAAAGCTGTAAGTCATCAGTTATTCTAACCCCTTGATTCCATTCTTAATGTGTGGACTAGGTTAGCATAGCAATATAGCAAAATAAAAGGTACAGGTTTCACTACTAATATAGATCTCTAGCTCAGCCTGCTCTAACAGGTTTACTTTCTGTGTGACTACACTCACCTGTAAAATCCAGAGGTGAGGGAGTAGGAATTCAATCTATGTCTCATTGGTGCTGGTAGATATTATATATCTCAGTCCTCCTCTAAGGAGCTCAGATTGTTCTACATGGGGGTGAGGACTCTTTTTCTGCCCAAAGGCCACATTCCTTCATGAGCGACCTTGAGGACCCAGGTGCAGGGCTTACCAGGGGCAAAGGGTGTGAAAGCAGCACTAAAGACATTGCACAACAACTTGGGATCAAAATGGCCACAACTTTATTGATTATAGATGCCAGTAGGCTTTGGCATAGGCATTGGGTATGGATCCTGAACCAACTAACCCGTTTGCTGGTTGATTACTCCACCAGGGTCAATCCAGAGATAAAGGATTCCCCCCATGACGCAGGATCAAATAGGCCAAACCCACCAGGACACCATTGGGGGAGTTATATGGCCCATTAGCCCCCATCTAGGCCTTCAGACAAAACTCCCCCCCCCCCGGACCGTTTTACCCGGGTACCCTTGTTCCAGTTTAGACTAAGAATCCAACCCAATTCCTTTTTCTGCCATCTGAGTCAGCCTCTCCTCGCCGTCTTGCCACCAAACCACTCACATCTACAAGCAATCACACAAGCCCCTGTAGCTATCCTGTAACCAGGCCTCATTGCCCTGAAATGATAGATGCATGCCACCAGGCCTGAAAAGCTTTGCATCCCTGAAACAGATGCCAGGGTGCTGAATCACCTGGCCTCCCAATTGTTCCAATGTGCGGCACATTGCCCCGTTAACCTTCTTTCAGAGGTGACTGAAAGAAGTTGGAACTGTCGTTGCAACTTCAGATCCCACTCTCAGCAGAAGTCCGATGTTTCTACACGCACACAATAACACAAGCACAAATCTATCCCCCTGTCCAGGAAAGCAAGAGGCATATCACAGTTCGAGGGAACATGTCAGCCTGGCAAAAGCATTGAAGCAGAGCACAGAGCAGGGCAATGGAGAGGTGCAGCCTGGAGAGAATCTAAAGAGAGAGTGCATTTACCCCTGGGTTTCAGAGTCTCCACTGCGCTAATCACTGCACCTGTTCTCGCCTCAACACACATTAGGCCGTATGTCTGCACATTTAGCTAAAACTCACATCCAATCCATATTTTCATGTAAATCAACTCTATTGATAACTTGAGCAGCAAGCAGCTTCTAAATGCAGATAATCAAATGGTTAGTTTTAAGAAGGCTTAAATAGATGGTTGAATCTAGCTGAGATGAAAGAGGTGGCAAAAAGTCAATGCAAGGCCAGGCCCTCCAGGTTGCAACTCAGAGTGGCAGAGAAACAATGCCAGTGAGAGGTCTCCAAGATCTGGTCTAAATAGGATTAGATATTCTACATAGGTATAACCAATCAATGCACGATAATAGATGCTAAGGTTTGAACAGTTGCTAACAGTTCCCTAAAGGGAACATTTAAAATGTTCAAAATACAGAGAAGGGGGGGGGCATCTAAGAAATAACATAATGCTCAATTGGTGCAGAACACCACCATGCTGGCTCTTTTGTGGAACTAAAAGAGCACCAGAGCTTTTGAAAGGGCGCTTTTGTTCCCATATTTTATTCTGAAAGGATTTGCAGCGATTGCCAAAAGAAAGATACTTTAATGGCTGCTTACCTACAAGTCTGCTTTCTTCACAATGCAGCTGATAATGCAGGCCTCTCCCTGCAGACTTTCTGCAAGTGATGGTTCCTGGTACATTGCTAAAGTTATTTCCATTCACTTTAACAGCTTACTCAAAGAGGAGTGGGAGGCAGCAGAAAAGTTTTTTTTAAAAAAAAATCTGCACACAAAGAAAGGTTTTCTATTGTATTCTAACTTTAGAATAGTTTTTCCCCATTCCAAATGTTAGGTTTTATAGGTCTCTCATTTGAAGGGGAACAAGCTCAGTTTTAGGTACAGCATATGCCCACTTTGCAATTTCTTAATCTTCACTTTAATGTTAACATGCCATCAGCAGAACAGATGGTGACCATTCAACAATAATAGCGGTTCTCTGACAACTATATTAGAGGGATCAGGCCGCCATAAGGTGCACCTTGTAACAATAGTTTTTACCCTTTCCTTATTTTGCAGTTGTAACTGTTTTATTTAGTTTATAATTGTATATTTTATTGCTGTAATCTGCCCTGGGACCTTATGGTCAGTGGGACTGTATGGTCAACTCCCATTGTTCTAGGTGCATTTTGCGACAGGAAATTTCATTAGCGAGAGCAGTTTCTAAGCTCCGGGCGCCTGAGATTTCAGATTAAAACTGCAGAGTGGAAGGAAAGGAGGACCTTTTTCTGCCTCCCCACTTCCAGCCACTCTCTGAAGACTGGAGAAGAGATCCTCTTAAGAATATTAGGGGGTTGGGCAGAGGAAGGACTAGACCATGTGAAAAATGAACATAATATTTGGGCTACAGTTCATTCATTTTCAGCTTTGTATTCTTGTTATAAAAAAGCATGCCTAGACATTCTCTTGTTGCGTCCATAACCTAGGTTTAAGGTGCCATTTAGCTCCTAGCTTTCATATCTCAGTTTCTAACACTGCTTATGGTAAAGGGCAGATAATAAATTGATGGGCCAAATTCCTGCTGGCCCACAATTCCAGCATATCAAAATGGCAGTTCTCAGTCTGCAGCTGCTGCTGCTCTGTAGGATCCAAGAGGCAGGGCACTTTGAACAGTCATGGCTTATCCCAAAGAATCCTTTGAACTGTAGTTAGTTAAAGGTGCTGAAAGTTGTTAGGAGATCTCTATCCCAGTCTCAGAGCTAAAATTTCCAGAGTTCCCAGTGAAGAGGGGCTGATTGTTAAAGCACTCTGGCAATGGTTGCTTTGTGAGGGGGAAAACTGTCTCCTAACAACTCTCAGCACCCTTAATAAACCACAGGATTCTTTGTGGGAAACCTTGATTGTTAAAAGTGCTATAATATTCCCTTAAATGTATAGTACAGAAGAGGCCTAGGACTTAGTATGAGGTGATAAGTGTCCCTGCTCTGTGTGCTGCCTTCTCAGTAAAACCACCACACACAAACATATAAAAATAAAAAAGATACATAGCTAAATTCTATGTTGTAAGTGGCTTTTTCCAGTTTGGCCCTGTAACAACACTATGTGAGGAATATTTAAAAAGCCACATACCAATATTGTGGGCTGCCCTCTCTGAGAGGAAATGTCTCTATTCTAGCTAGCACAGCCAGTGTTTTCAAGATGGATTCACAACACATACACCACTTCCCAAATTACAATTGCATCCTTTTTCCTTTTTTTTATAACAAATATCGCAACACAATTGTTTCTCATTCGAATTGCAACAGTCCCCAACTGGGCTCTACCTCTTCAGGCTCAATTCACATATTAACCATATTCAAATACTGACATTCTCGTCTTAGGAATCAATTTGGTGGTTGTTTTTGGATATAATCATCTTAGGTCAAACCTGAAGCAGCAAAATGGCCTTAGATCATTCTAGCATTCTGCTCTCTGAGGAGAAATCTTTTGGCTCTGGCTAAAATATTATTATTGCTATTGGTTTTTATTGACTTCTTGGTTTGTTTGTTGCTTGTATAGGATATCTTGTTTTTTAATGTTTGATGTTTTGTTGTTTTATATGTTGTAAGCCGCCCAGAGTGGCTGGGGAAACCCAGCCAGATGGGCGGGATATAAATTTATTATTATTATTATTTGTTGTTCTAAAATAGCCAAAATCTTGAGGAAAGGAAGGGCCTGCTCTTTGAATTGTGCCTTTTCTTCTTTGTACGACAGCTCCATTTAAGTGTATGAGTTCAGAATGACAAATTGCTATAAATTCTGGCATTTTGGTAGGGGGCTACACAGGGGCAGGGATCTAGAGCCCAGCGTTTCATCCTCCATCCTATTTAATTAACTGATTATGTCATGGATATTAGCACTGTGTGTCTATAATAGTTTGGGATGTGTGTGTGTAAATATTATGCTGGCTGACTCAAACATTATTATTAAATCAGGACTGCCAAGTGTTGATACCTTTTCCTGGCTAGGTCTCTAGCACCTTTCATGGCTGCATGACAATATCTCCCTTCATATCTTGTGCACTTGGAGGACAGTCATGTGTAGAACAATAAATGGGGTCTAGCCTGCTACTTGTTCTGCACATCTGCCCTTGATGTGGGTAACTTGTGAAGGCGACTATATGATGAATAAAGTAGCCACGTCTGCATCACCAAAAAAGGCAGGTGAAATATAGTGCTCATTTGCACAAATTTTTCATGTTGTGTATATGTGTGCATATATTAGGAATAATTGCTGTAATTTTAATAGAAGTACACCTCGCTATAGTGGAGAAGTCTATAATAAGGTAAAATCCAATCTTCTTGAGTCCTTACAAGGGTACCTCTGCTTGGGAGTGAGGATGAACCACAATGTTTTATGGCAAGTCTCCCTTGTTTTTTTCTGTTACACGATGGTTAAAAGTAGGGTGGTATGTAAATTCAACAAATAAAGTAATAATAATAATAAGCCATAAATAGAAGTACATGAATTGTGTGGGGACAACAGAGCAAAATTACAGTTGGAAAACAGTCTGTTTTCTGTTGTGAATGGTGGCATACTACAGGCTGGTACAGTACTAATATAAGAAAGGCTGTTGTAAGATGTGTTACCACTGGTCACTGTACATTATGGCTTTGGACAGCTTTTAGAGCTGCTGCTGGTATATGCCGTAATCTTTTTTGCTTCAGAAATATATTTACAGTGGTACCTCGGGTTAAGAACTTTATTCGTTCTGGAGGTCCGTTCTTAACCTGAAACTGTTCTTAACCTGAGGTACCACTTTAGCTAGTGGGGCCTCCTGCTGCTGCCGCACCACTGGAGGACAATTTCTGTTCTCATCCTGAAGCAAAGTTCTTAACCCGAGGTACTATTTCTGGGTTAACAGAGTCTGTAACCTGAAGCAGCTGTAACCCGAGGTATCACTGTAAATGTTTTTTAAACCAACACAACATATTTGTGTTGCACTATGAACATGCTAACATTATATATATAAAAAACTAAGAATTATTATCACCATCGTGCATTAAGGGTTCTGTTGATTCCTGTTTAACACCATCCGTCTCCAAGAAACAATGGTGTACAGCAGTTGTCTGATATGAACTGTGATTCCAAGGCTATTGCCAAATATGAATAGAAAATGCTCTAAAACAGTGTGAACAGTACGTTGGAGATAACCATTTTATTTAGACTACTGGTTGTTATTTTAATTGCTTACAAAACACTAACAAGCGCCGATAAGATTCAGCCCCAGCTGTGATGCTTTGCAGCTGCACATCATGATGCGGCATTTTCCCACCATGACTCTGCAGCACCATGTCATGAAAGTAATTACAATACAATTTATTTATTTTATTGCAAGCACTAACATTATTCCCAGTACAATATTTAACAGTTTGAACAGTGCCTGCTTAAAAATAAAAAATAAAAAAAATGATCATGAGTCCAGAGCTCGAGCATCAAATAATCATGATAGTGTGTGTGGTGGTAGGGGGTTCTATTTTATTCAGGAAGGTTTTTGTGCTGCTGAGTTTGAGTCAGGTTTTATTGACTTCGGTTGGATTTATATTTATGCTGCTTTAGTGTTTTATGACTGCTGTTTTAATTTGTTTTATATGTGGGGTTTTTTTATTCTATTTGTAAGCCACTGTGAGAACCCTCTGGATTAGTCAGCAGGATATTAACTAGTAGAAATAAAAAAATGTAAATAATGTTATACTTGCAGTATGTTTAGCACAGCAGCCAAGCAGCTAGTGAATTCTTCTAAAAGCTGAGAATTAGCAATGACTCCCACAAGTATATCATCTGCAGTCAACTCTCTGTAGATCCATTCCAATTCAGGTCCATGCCTGGGCATGGGAATGAGCCAGTCTTGGTCACCCCGATGGATGACCTTTGCAGAGTGGACAGGGGGAGTGTGACCTTACCGCTGCTTCCTGATAGCTCATTGCCTTTTGATACCATTGACCATGGTGTCCTCCTGGATCTGCTCCAGAAAATGGGAATTGAGGGCAATCTGTTACAGTGGTTCCAGTCCTACCATCGGGACAAAGTCCTGAGAGGATCATTGGGAGAATGCTTTTCAGCCGCTTAGCATCTATGTTATGGGATGCCACAGGACAAGCTGGGGCTGTGGCTCAGCTACACACACACACACACACACACACACACACACACACCACCTTTTGGGTGGCACAGTATTGCCTGCCTTACTTGAGTCTGGCAACAGCACCCATTACCACAAATGTAAAATACTGAAATTTTAGAAATTGTGGATGGAGATATTATGATGGAACAAAATGTGTTCCTTTATAAATCTGCATAGAAACAACCCCACAGTTTCTAGTCTGTAGTGATTTCATGCTTTTAAAAATTTCCGAAGACAGAACAAGTAATCAAATTCCATAGTTCAACATGAACCCCTTGATCCTTTCAATATAAAACAAGTGTAAAATATTGACGAGTATATGATGCTTTAAAGGAGAAGAAAGGAGAAAAATAGAGTAGAATGGAGTACGTGACAAGTCTTTTGGAGTGGTTTTTAAATCTATGAACAATCCATAATATTTCAGTATAGTTTAAACAATGGCTTAATTTGTGTTGTGCTCCTAGGCACCATCTTGCCCTGGTAGATTTAATATTTTCAAATAATATCTAAGTGCCAGCAGATCCCTAAAGACAGCTTCATATAGTAGCAAATGGATACTAGGTTATATCAGTGGTCTGTGGGCCTCAGTGCAATGAACACTCCAAACTGTTGGCTTCATAGTCATCCCCAAAGGACATTTAGATAGCAAGAGTTTTGCTATTGCAGCAACAGACAATGAATTTGTCACCTGAAAACAAAAGCTGTAACAATGAATGCTTCTGTTATGTGCTACAGTTGTTAGCAATCAACAGCAAGAGGAGGAGCAGGAGACAGAAAAAAACTGGACAGGGAGCACATATGGGAAAACAAATCTTCGAAATCTTGTCTGAGCAGCTATAAACTGAAATATTGTTCAGTAGGAAGTGAGGCTTTAAACATTAAAATGTGCTGGCAGAAGGTTAGAAAGCAAGTATTCTGGCTGGCTATAGCAATTCAGTAACTAAGGAGTGAACAACCCCACATGAACAGTGGCTTCACTTGCTATATTGTTAACACAAAGGCTTAATTCTTTTACCCATTAAAATATTTTGCTGAGTTCTTTTGCAGCAGATTTTGTCTTCTCTTGCTGGTAGGTAATGAGCTCACCTGCATCATCTCTGATGGCTTTGAGTATTTCATCTGATCTAGATGGTTTTGGTCCCTAGAGGATTCAAACAACTTCTAAAATGTTGTATTTTTTAACCTTCCCTAGAACCCTTGGCTTCAAAAGTAACTTTAAAAAGAGCATAGGTCTAGTCTTAGCACATGGGGTGGTAAGTCCTAAAAGACTTTTGTGGGGAACTTTAACAGAATATTGCACAATGTTCACTGTTTCAGTCAGCAAGTCGTTCACCACTAGTCCATTATATTCAGCATTCTGTGGTCACTGAACATGCTCAAGCCTTTTAAGGCAGTTTGCTTGCCCCTCCCCCCCCCAAATATGGAACACTGCAGTTCCCAGTTTGGGAGAATAGGAATTCCTATCTATGAATATTTCAACATCCTTACTGAACAGTGGGACTACCATTCCCTTTATCTTCCTTTTGTATTGAACATACCTAGAAAAGTCCTTTTTGTTGCTCACTGGCCTCATTTGCTACAGCATTTCACTCTCTTGAATGTCTGTGCCAGTGTGCACATTTTTGACATGAAATGCTACCTCCACATTTCTTTCTGTTGCATCTGTTATTTTGGAACAAGTTAGAGCCTTCAGTTCCTAAATTCTAATTATTGAAGTCATCTCACCAAGTCTGTTATACCTGTCAAGTTGAATGTATCTTCCAATACTAGAAGTTCATTATGTTTATTATCTGTACTCTGCACACTGGGATACATTTAAATCCTTAGATACTCTTTTCTACTGACTCACCTGTTACTTTAGTACTGTATAAGGTTTCCAGGTACCCCCATACGTCTCCCAGTTTCTTCTGTAGCAAATTCCTATATTTAGTGCTTGCATTTGGATTTACCCTTATAGGTAATTTATCCTTACCCCTTTAAAGACCTTTTGATCAAGCTCCCCATTTTTTGCCAAATACATTTTCTCCAGCCCTCAGGAGGTAGCCTCCTATAAAGAAAGCTTACACCTTGGGTCCCAGAAACTGAACATCTCAGATCAATATTCATCTGCGTAGCCAGTAATTCACTTGAAGAAGTCTACTTTTTTTGTACTCCTCTCCTCTTTACGAGAAGAATTAATGTGCTCTTTAGGCAAGAAGGGTGGGATATAAATTTAAAATAGTCAAACATAAAATGTAGTTCTGCCTGGCAAGTAGGGCTGATGAGTGTTCAGTCTTGGGCAACCTGTCTCTCATACCCTGAATCCATGCACTGAGGAGACAATGTACTTCACGAGTTTAACAGGCCTGGTCAGCACACAGCCATCTCTCAGTAGGGGATTCCCAATCACCACCACCCTTCACCTTTTTTCTACAGACAGTAGTTAAACTGCCTTAGTCTTTGAAGGGTTGAAAGGCTTCCTTCCTACCTAGCACAACCTGCTGCAGCTGTCCTCTATCAGGATCCTCAGTCACACTCATTAGAAAGATACTAAAAGGTTTTTCTTAGTTCCTATAGATCAGAATGCCTTTGACATCCTGTCTTCCATGCAGTTTTACCTTCCCCATTGCCATTCTCAGCATCTTACCTGACAGTCTCTCCCCGCTTTTCCTTGCTGAGCTGCCCTCTTGTCCTCTCCAAGAACTCATCTTCTCTAATGAGGCAAGGTGTGGAAACACAGTCCTTACTTCCTCTTTCAACAGAGCAATCAGCTCACACTTGCTGCAGGTGTAGTCTTGCAACTCCACTGGGTCTGTGCTGTCCACTTTCTTGGCTCTTGTTTACATCTTAAGACTCTGCCCGCTGATGAACTGGCTTTTGCTTCTTCCTTAACTTCTTTGTTTAAACTTTGCTTGGATGTCTGCAATATTTTTGCCTGCTGTTGCAGAGAGTGCAGGGTCTCAATAACTCAAACCTCTGATCAGGTCACAGCAATCTTGTGTCTTCATCAGAGACTCCTGGGAGAGTATGCAGACAAGCAGCTACTTCATCAGAACAATAACTTACCACAGAGAGTTGTTGAGTGACTCTAAGAAAGCTATTCTTGATGCTCATTTGATTCACCATACACCCTGTAGTAACCCCTAAACTCCAAAGGCTTAAAATATGGTGCATATATTGTGTATCTATTTATTATCCCTCTTCTGAAATGCTCAGAACTTGTCATATTCCTTCAGACAATTTTGCCTACTAGATCAAGGGCTGATGACCTTTTTGCAATGGTGTAGCATAGGTTACCAGTGCCTGGGGCTGTGCAAGTGGTGGGTGGGAGGGAGTGAAACATATGGAGTACGCATGCACGTTTCAATTGCCTTACAGTGTCCACATCACCCAGGAGATTGCAGCCGCAGACATAAGAAAAGAGTCATTCCATTGTCTGGAGAGGTCACTTCCTGGTTCACATGAAGAAGCCATTTTCAACAGAACCCAGAAACAGAAGCACACAGCTGTATTGAGGCAGCACTGGATGTTGAAATTTTGCACTCCTAATTTTGTGCCTGGGGCAACCATTCCTGTGGGCCTCACCACGCTACACCACTGCCTTTTTGGACCCAAGGGCACATTTGCAAACAGGAGGAACTGTTGTGGACTCCACTTACACCAGAATCAATTGTTAGTCACTATGGAATGCTTCTGTCAAGCCTAATTTCAGCAGAAGGGCCCTTTTGGCACCAGGGCAGGCCACTTAGGGATACATGTGTGTCTCTGGGCACAGGAGTGGTGAACTCAAAACTAGGCCATATTAATATTGCATCACATCTCATGCTTTCTCCCCTGGCAGTTACCTGTGGAAAAGAATAGCCTTTGAATAAAGTTGCTAAAAGAGGTTACTGCTTAGTACTTTTAAAGTCTAAAATACATTTTTAATTTACTACCCTTTGAACACTAGGTGTATTTTCTTCTGTATTTATTTATTAAATTTATACCTGACCCTTCCTCCCAAAAGAGCCCAGGGCAGAATTAGTATCCATATTCTGCATTACATGCAGTGAGCATTTGTTTAAAGTCGTCTTTGTAACTCACTGTAGCTGCTTGGCAAATGTTCCTTGTGCAAAATCCCCTCCTCCCCCGGCTCCATTCATTTATCAAGTATAGATGTATGTTTTTCTCGCATAAAGGAAAGGCTATTTTATAACTATTATGCAGATGCTTTTTAAGGCTAGCCCATTAATCTTAATTTACGGATTTAAACAGCTGTTTAATTTATTTAAAAATGTTCCACTTTGGCTGCAATCCTAAATTTGCTTCTCATGAGTTAATCCCACAGAAATCAATATGAGCGCAGTCATTATGGCCACAACCCAAGATGGCTAAGCCCATTGAGCACAATGGGCTTAGACATATTTATCTCTGTGTTGGATTGTGGCCTTTGCCTTTAACTACTTAATTATAACGGTGCAAGTCTCGGGAGAGGGGGTAATGAACTCTTTTGTAGCCCCTTCTTTGCCAGAGGGAAGTATAAACACACATTCTTCACTGATTTATTTCAATACCTAAACTAGAAATAAGGAGTAAGGAGCTTTCTACTGGTTGGCCCTAGTACAGATGGAGATGTGAACGTATCAGACCTACAACTGCAGTTATTATTAGTATTCTTATGTGACAGTGACATCTGGTCCTTGGTGTGGATGTGTACAAAGGTCTAATTGTGTCCAAAATAATCAACATTAAAACTAAGGGCTCGTCCACATTTCCTTTTCTGCTGTGTTTCTAGGCAGTTTAAAGCTCAGTGTCTGAGCGCTTCCACCCTCCTGGTACTTTCCCTGCGAAGACCTGCTCTTTAACCACTGAATTGGAGCAAACAGAAATCCCCAGAAAACCCAAATCGCTGTTTGTTCCGATTCAGGGTTAAAGAGCAGGTTTTCCTAGAGAAAGCGGCAGGGCAAAAAACCCATGACCCACTAGGACACAGAGCTTGAATGTGCAGAGCTGTGGTTAGAAAATGCAGGGCAAAAGGTAAGTGGAGGTGAGCCCTAAGCTTCTGGGCAGTGGGCAAAAAGGCTGTGTGGAATAGCTATAGATGGACACTATAAATCATCACTGTGTAGTAGAGCCAGAAGTTACAGCTATAGAGAATGAAGTTGGCAATATAACTGAGAGAGAAAAAGCTGCTCAGACCTGCTGATGCTCTTAACAGCAGCTACGTATATAGAAATCAGCAGGCTTCAGATCACACTGTGTTGCAGGGGTGAATTGAAAAGTAGACAATTTTAGCAGACGTGTGGTAACCTCTGCCCCCATTGTCTGGAATTTCTGTGAATTTCAATAGCTACTCTTTTCTATGTAATTCATCTTAACAATAATTAAAGTGGGATTGTGGTGCAATTTATTTCTGAGTTTCTTCATATATATATATTTTATAAACCAAAATTGTCCTTAGCATGCTTCTCCTTTCTCTTCTTCAGTAGCTTTTGAAGATTCAAACTTCATTCTGTATGTTAACAGTGCTCCTTCTAGTCCAAGCCTCCTTTCCAGAGACTAGGCTGCAATCAACACACATCCAGTGTCACATTTGTGAATGTTTTATTTGCAGCTGTGTAGCTGAGCCCTAGGAAGATCAGTCCCGCTTTGCTGAACACCGCTGCTGGCTCCTATTCAGATAAAGGCATCAAAGCTTCCAAGCTTCTTCTTCGCCGCCTGTCTGTCTCCTACACTGCGGCGATCAGGAGTTTGCCCCCTAAATTAAAACAGACAACCCATACAGGTAGACATGTTTTTGCAATGCTTACTACTCAGATCTCAACATGTGCAGTCGAGATGCCTGTAGTCCTGGATGGAACAGCCAGAGAATGAAGAAAAAGAAGGTGTCAGCCCGACATGTATACAAGAATACATCTTAGATGAAGCTCATTTCTCTGGAGACAGCAACAGTAACTCAGAGAGGGTTGCAGGAACACTCCTGCTGTTCCTTTCAGAAGTCGGAAAGGAAAAGAACATCTCCAAAACGATCTCACCTTAAGTAACTGAATTATGTTATATGTCAGTGGATCTGAGGATATGATACAGTGCAAAGAACCTAGTGTTCGTACAAGAGGATGAGGCCCTTGCGCCAGCACTGGAACTCAAGTTCTGGTACGTGCATGAGATGTGATGTAGTTTTGCAACTCTCGGCTGATTTCCTACTCCCCCTCTTTTTCTTCTTCTGTACCCATCCCCTCTTTTAGTTATATCACCAACGATAGAACAAGGACTTGAGAAAGGATAACTAAGACAGCAAAGGAAGTTATTTGGAGGTAAAGTAAAGGTAAAGGTACCCCTGACCATTAGGTCTAGTTGCGGACGACTCTGGGGTTGCGGTGCTCATCTCGCTCTATGGACCGAGGGAGCTGGTGTTTGTCTGCAGACAGCTTCCAGGTCATGTGGCCAGCATGACTAAGCCACTTCTGGCGAACCAGAGCAGCACACGGAAACGCCGTTTACCTTCCCGCCGGAGCGGTACCTATTTATCTACTTGCACTTTGACGTGCTTTCGAACTGCTAGGTGGGCAGGAGCAGGGACCAAGCAACAGGAGCTCACCCCGTCGCGGGGATGCGAACCGCCGACCTTCTGATCAGCAAGTCCTAGGCTCTGTGGTTTAACCCACAGTGCCACCCGTGTCCCTTTATTTGGAGGTATAGATCAATTACCTTATAAAATTAAAGTTGATACATGGTGCAGCTTTGTCGCAGATATTTTATAGAGAGAAGAAACTGGCAGAACTACCACTGGCTGCTTAGGCTGGGTTCTAAATGTGTTGGGAGCTGCCCCGTTTCAAAGCATTGGATGGGGACATGATATGTATTAGACAACCATCACAAACGCTATTAAATATACCATTTGTCCTTGCTCTATCGTAAGGGATAAATGGGAATGCAAATGGGAGGGAGGGGGAATGTGTTATCAGTAGGGCATTAATATATGCATTGTCCTTATGGCTGCAGCAGCAAAATGCCAAATGCATGCAATTATTTTTTATGTTATATTTTATAATATTAACTGGTTTTATTTATGTCCACTTCTTGGCCTTTTCACGGCAAATACCCAAGAGTAAATTCTTCCAAGTCATGGTTCTATAACAAGATGGGTTCTAAACAAGTTTGGCGTTACTAGAAATGTACCTCTGATGCCCCTTGTTCATTATAAGTATACTAGCAAATGTAGAATACAGTCACTCACCAAAGAAAAGATCTGGGAAACACTGGGTTTCTGACAGCCTAGTACAGAGTCTCTATCACCTTTGCAAATGAAGTAAAAGACCTGCAGCTACAGGAACTTAGTGGGCAACACAGAAAGCTCCCATGAGTAAAAGGCTGCTTTATGGCAGGGTAGATTGCTCTGCACTCCTTGAGTACTGGACAAAACTCCACACATACAAATGTTCCTTTATTGCAAAGGCATATTTCTAGAACCTATCAAAAACTAAAGCTTAAAAGAAGCACCTCAGATTATCAACCAGATGTGATTTAGGAGCCCAGAAGAACAAAGCCATAAACTGTTATTGGATTTATAATAGAAAACTCTCTGTCTTTGCCATACTTGCATTCTGGCATTGGCACATGGCCAATACAGTAAAAGCAGCATAAATATAATAATCTCAAAATGGAATGGCTTAAATACAGCTACCCTGTTCTAAATTTTAAAAAAGGAATATGCTTTGGTTAAGCCCAAAGTCTTCCTGTGGAGCTCTCTGTGGACATTTCATAGCTCTTCCAAGGAACCTGTATCAAACGTTATATGCAGGGGAACATTTCATTATTAAGTTTCTTTTTATTCCCTGGGGCCACTTGGCTAATGCAGTGTGAAAGGCACTGTGCAAAGCTCTCTGCAACGGGGACATTCCAGGGCAGCAGTGTTCAAACAGTATTCTAGAGGAATCCTCAAGTTCATTCAGAGATTGAATGAAAAGATCGGTAATGGGAGAAAAGTTTCCCTGAAGCTTGCTAATCACTACTGATTTTATGCTGCATTGTGCAGCTGTACGTTGATATGTAGACTCCTCTAATATGGCCAATAACCTGTGTGAACACCCTAGAAATATGCCCCAAGTCCTCCAAAATGAACAAACGGATCCATAGCAGAGGCTTGGCAGTTCTGCAGCCATATGAAAAGTGTTCCCTCCAGACAGAAATGCTAAAAACCAGTGCCCATCACATTACCCAAAAGAAGCCTGGATAGCACTATGAACCATTCCTACCTCTCATTCAGTAGAAGGAATAGCAGCACTGCCTTCAGGGATTCTTGAGATTCTCTTGTGTGCATGCACTATTCAAGTTCTTGTTATGAACAACAAAAATTTAAAAATATCAATATTATTAATGGGTACTTCTAAATCCAGCAATATTCCAGCTAGAACATAGTACAACGGAGGTAAAAGCCAACCTCTATCCCTGATAAAACTTCTCCATGAAAAACAAGCATAGGTTTCCCTGTTTATTGACTAGCTAAAATATGCTGCAAAATAACATTCCAAGGCATTAAGTGGTGGTTTAACCATGACTGCATTTCTTTCCTTTGGTGGTAGTGGTCTTTTTGAAACCTTGGACTACTGTACACATTGACTAAACAACAAGACACTGTTAAAAAAAAATCACCGCGATTAGAAGACTGTAGTACCAGCATCCAAATGAGTCAATTCTGTTGCTTTTCATAATCTCCTCTTCAGGCATTTGGTACTGCTTAGGATAGTGGGTTTAAAAATAATAATAATTTTGAACATGCATAACTGAATGACTTTCTTTAGGCCTGTAAGAGGCCTGCATTTCTACCTCCTTGTGTATGCTGCTGAATATCAACCAGCAGTGACAAAGTAGTCTATCTCTTATTTTCCTGCATGTCTCTCCTTTGAGCGTCCCAATTCTACTGAGTACTTTGGGCCCTTTGTGTTACTTATTGGTCACGACAGCCAGCAACACTCCTCTCAGATTTAGTGTTATTATGCCTCAGTTATCAAGGAATTCCTTATAGAATGACTCTTGCCTGTTTGGAATATTTCCTTTTAAATGCAACCATTTCAAAGCACTGCCCTACTAACCACAACAGGAAAATGTCTCTATACATATCTAGGCAGTGCAATTCTGCTCATCCTTTAGACATACTGCATTAAGAACAAGGGTGTTGTGAAACCCAAGAACATCACCACATAGGTGAATAACCAGCCACAAAAGCATGTCAGATCACACTGCAGAGCATCCACACTTGTGCAGTGTTAATGCAATATGTTTCATACCAGATTATCCAGAGATTTAGGGGTGGGGAAGGGAGGAGTATTAAATTGGAAAAACGTTTCAGCTGGCCTTTGGATTAGGACACTGTGTGGACAAGAAAAATATGTGCACTTCAATCCACATGAAACTGCCATGTTAATACACTACCAGAGACTTTTGTGTGTTTTAGGGGTTTTCCTTTAAATATTCAGAAACACACACAAGAAATAAAATTAAATAAAATGCCATGTATTTTCCAAAAACAATATTCATCTGCATAAATGGTTAGGCTGACCCACAAATTAAGAAAATACTCCTAAAACAATTAAGCTAGATTTCAGATGGAAATTAGGGGAAGCTGAAGCGTATTTTTCAATTGGCTGAATATTTAAAAAATATACTTAAAGGTTCACATGTAACCACTACTACAGCATGACTTCTTCAGCAGCAAAGTAATTTTTGATCATTACAATTTCTGTAATGATACAACAAATATACAAAATACACTTTGCATATGATTGCAGAAACAGCAGCTCTCTAGAGCCAAACATATAGTGTAATATAATAATAATGAGTCTACTTCAACAAAGTAGGATTTTAATAAGACTTTAATAATACTGGTGGCAAGCCAAATTACACAATGTCTTAATCTACAGAATGGTTTCAACACAGAAAATAAGAGTCCAGGAAAACATCACAATGTTTAAAAAACATGAATACCTTTGGGGTTGGAAACATTTTCTAAACATGCACAATTAGGCATTTCCTCCCAAAATCAAATAGAAGGGGAGATATTGAAAGCCCTTGATAGTTTTAGCCTGTGTTTCCAGAACTTATGGCACAGGGCCAGTTTTTAACAACTAAAAGCAAGCTAAAACCATAATTATGACATTTGGCATGTTCAACCTCAGTGCGGACTGAATCTCCTCATTTCCCTTAGAGGGAAAGCAGTGATTAAGTTACCTTAGAGGCTGATCCCAGAATTGTAATGTGCTGGATTGTCTAGTAGAGATTTAGACCAATAAATGTGTCTCCTTTTAGACATTAAAATCAGTTCCAAACAGAGTCCCATAGGTGAAAGCCTAATGATTTATGCACTTATCCTCTGCTAAATGGAAGGTATCTTGGGGGGAAAGGAATTAAAGCTACTCTGAAACTACATCCAATACAAAACATTCTTCAAACATAATTGAACACATGCTCACACGCTACACTGCAACAGGAGAAGCAATTAAAGAGATGAACATCTGGTAAAATATCAAGGTGTAATGTACCAGTATGGATTTCACACAACACAATATTTTGACTGTTATAGAGACATCTAGCCATATTGCTTGAAAAATGACATTTTCAATAGTTTGTGCTTTATGCAGACCTGCTAGGCTGGTAGATGCATCCCTTCAGTTACATGTCACCACACAAGCTATCCAGCAGCTTTCTTGATCGAGCCGATATTCATAGGTTATTGCTTGTGACTTTGGTTCTCTTCATTCAGATCAGATGTTTGCACAGTGAACACACCTTTCCTGTTGTTCATACACAAGTCCAGACCTCACCTATAGGTTCCATTTAGAAAAGATTTGGAAAACTCCAGGAAGTCAAAGCTTAAAACATATGGCAAGGAGGACAAAAATTTTCTGGGCCTGACATATTCCTTAGATGTCTACTTACAACTGTAGTGGGCTATTAAAAAGTTATGCCAAACTTCAAGATGAAAGGCATTAGCATCTTCTAAGAAAAGGATAATCACAATCTTCTAGAGATTTAATTAGATGTAGCTCACAGAAGCTTTTGACACGGTCTGCTGTTAATTGAATCAAAATCAATGACTATCTTACTGCACTTAGGTTTGAATTTCCTGGGGAAGAAATGGAGAGAGAGAGGGAGAGAGATGGATATTAGCTAGTGAAGTAGTTAAACATTTTGTTTGCTTTGCCTCCCAACTAAATTTTAAGAAGGGGAAAATATCATTGGATTCACTCTGTGTTTCATCTCTATAGGAGCCAATTATAGTGCACCATACTGAGAGAAACCCGGACAAGAAAGTCTAAGACAAAAAGACACATGGGGTTGCTTAGTTTGTATGTTCTTCAGCTATTGGAGTTCATAAATTAGCCAGGAGTCAAAGGATTTCTAACAACCTAGCTGCAGGAGGTGGCATCATGCAACTAGTCTTTCTGTAACATTTGATATTTTTTCATGCCAATTTTTTCACAGAAAACTTCCAAAGTTTGCTTCAGTAATTTCACTGCAAAGGGGGAAAATATACTGCATTATGCAGGGGATAGAAAATATAAACTAGTGAAACTGGAATAATTTTTAAGTTACAACTTTAGAATTGTAAAATTAATATTGCCAACAAAGCTCATCCTTTTACATCATTAGAGCATCTGCTGCAGCAATTAGCAAGAAAGGTATTTGGGGACTGTGTGTATATTTTACAATCTACCAGTAAACAGAGGATTATGCAAATAGTGTGGATTTAGTGTCTCATTAAGCTTGACAATTCAGTTCTAGAGATTCATTAAGCATAACCATATCCTCACAAATCAATACGAAGAGGCAAAAACAGCCAAGAGAATGAAGGACAAGTTTGGGAGGAGGGTGGCACACACACTTTATCCAGCCTATCGCTTGGAAGCGCTGGAGTCACCCTAATCATGGGCAAGCTCTGGAAATATTTCACTTGCAACAGAATGAGTTATGCCTCCACTTCACCTAGTGCCCATGGTAGACATATAATACAAGGAATAACTTTAGAACAGAATTTCAAATACTGCATTATTGGCTCATGATTTCTACTTTAGCCCAGGAGCTAGAAGTCTGCTTAACGTTTTCAGTCAGAACTGTTAAAACATGCAAAGCTTCAAGAAGATTCTACATTAATATTAAGATTTTCAAGTTTTTAAATTCATAATAATTAGCCTTTCACCACGGCATCATAAAGGTGTTAAACCATTAGTTGAACACATTAACCTCCCTTAGTGCCTTATAAAATATACCCCTTTTTTTTCTTCAGGCCATATTCCATGAAAAGATCGGCTTGGTTATACCTGAAGGCTGTGTACACAGTCTCCTTTAGTCTGCATAAAGTCCTCTCCCACCATTGGTTTGCGAAGTGGTGTACACACAACATTAATCACAATCCGTTTCTATCGTGGATCTATACTGCAATTTCTTGTGGAGTACTGCACTTGGATGGAGTGTTGGGGTGTTAGGGGAGGGCAGTACCTCTGGTGGGGAACACGTTGTGCTCCTTCTGGGGTAGTTTGTCCACCTTTGGTCTCCCCCCTGCACTTAGTTTTCACCTGTGGCTCCTAGAAGCTGCCAGCATGTGACAGCAGCCACACGCGAGGAAACAGGACATCCCAGGAAATGGCTTTGATTGGCCAGCTAAACCAGGTGAGGTGTATAGGATTGCAGCTTGATGTTTATCTTTTATACTCGTACATGGAAGTAAGACACTGTTTTCTGAGTGAGGAAACAGAGGCTTCAGGCTTTAAGAAGTAACTTGCTAGGAATAACGGAAGACAACCTTTGTAACACCTCTACTGCTATATTCTTTAAGAACAGCCAATATGACAACGTGCTATACAGCCTATATTTTACGTGAACAATAAATTCTTATTTGGCAGACTACAAACAAGAATAACACTGCAAACAATGAATACATGCATTTTGCAATGTAGAAACAGAGGCCATACCATATTTCTTAGGGAAATACTACGCAATATAGGAAGAAGGTATAAGGTTTTCCATAAAGGTATCTTCCTCATAGATAAATAAATATGACCTGCTTTTCTCTACATGTTGGGGCAGGAGACTTGTCTGCCATGATTTTCAAAGAATCCAAATATATTTGGTGGCAGCCACTACATCCCTTTTTGCACAAAGGCTGTGAAATAGGTTACAGAAAAAGCTTACAGCAGGCAACCACTTCCCTGTATTTGGCCCTGATCCTTTGAGCCCTTAATGATATCAGTTCACTTACTTGCATCATGAATGGGAGGAGGCCTATAGTTGAATAGGTGTGGGGCTTCAGAACAGCACAGAAGCATATGAAAGGATGGAAGGGACAAAAGATGCAAGAGCCCATCTATTACCTCACCTGTATATAATTCCAGCTAAATCAAACAAGCGCCGTGCAGCTGTCATCTCCACAGTATCGTGATATTTGTCAGACATAAAAATAACTTCTTTTATACCTATGAGCAGACACAACAATGAGAAGCAAAAATGTTTAGATGCATTCAAGGAAAGACAGAGTTAAATTTAAGTAAAAAAGTAACATCTACATAAAGATATTTTTAAGCAGAAGAAATGTATGCAAATCTTCCAATTACCAAATCAGCTGTGCTCCTAATAAAGCAGCCCCTTATGTGCAGCGGGATTTCCCACCAGTGTATACAGAAAAGGTAGAAGACAACCCCTTGCTCAGAGAGTTCAGTTGGCTATAGGCAGTAGTAAAAGCTCTGAGGTTCATGGACACTATTTTAATTACAGTCATACCTCGAGTTGAATGTGCTTCAGGTTGAGCGCTTTCGGGTTGCGCTCTGTGGCAACCCGGAAGTAATGGAGCGCGTTACTTCCAGGTTTCGCCATTCGTGCATGCGCTCAAAATGACATCACGCACATGCGCGGAAGCGGCAAAACGCGACCCGCACATGCGCAGATGCATCTTATGTTCCATTCAGGATGCGAACGGGGCTCTGGAACGGTTCCCATTTGCATCCCGAGGTACCACTGTATAGGGTAAAACCCATCAATTGGTTTAGGCGTGATTTTACTAATAGGGAGATTTGTCAGCTTTTAGAAAAATTGAATGAAATATTTGCACATAAATAGTTATGTTCACACTAGATTGTCTAGAGATCTGGAGAGGATGTTAAGATGGGGAATTTTATTTGAGCCATTATTTGTTTCCTATTCAGAGTGTTCTCTGCTTAACCCGCCTAGTTTTCTTTAAACTAAACCAGTTGTTACCAGTTAAAGAGTTTAAAGACATGCTGATACTGCATGTTACAAACAAGTTAAAATAGGGCATCCAACATTAGCAACAACTAGAACAGGCATGACAGATCTAGAGCATAGGTATTTTGTCCTATAATGCTGCTATATAAAATTTTAAAAAGTAGCTTAATCTGGGAAGAGATGGGATTGTTAATGAGGCCAAAAACTCTGAAGGTCATGGAACTTCAAAAGTGGAGGAAGACAGATTTAGCCTCAGGATTTTCAGGCCCAGCACTTAAGAGGGTGCAATACCAAAAGTGTTATATATTTTCCCAAGCGGATCTGTAGAGTTATTGGTGGGATATATAAAGAAAGCTAGAGTAGATGGAGCCACACACTGAACTGCAACTGTGAAATTGCTGCTACCCAATTGTCTTCTGCTTTGCTGGCATTTCTGTTTCCAGAATGCGAAGCTATTACTGTCCATCAGTGTGCACAATGTTTCACACTGAAAGACAGGAGACATTTCTTCTCTGAAGAATTTGTATGTATCGTGAATTCATCCTTAAAAAAAACCCAATAGGACAGTCTCACGTAATTACTTAAAGCAGATTTTGGACAATTTCAAAGCACTCATATCTCTTGCAATTTCCGTTTCTGCTTCCATGGCTCTTCCCTACCCCCACCGGACTGCAAGCATTAACTGTGACTGTGCTGAGCACAATCCTACAAATTTTCCCATTCTGCCAACATGTCAATATTACATCCTGAACACACAAAGAACAGAAAAAACCAAGAGTGATAACTGACAATGAGTCTGACAGGAGAGAGTTGAAATAGTGATTGCTTTAAGAGCTTAACTATTTCACTGCTGCATATAAAGCAGATGAATATAATGGCAAATGAGTTTATTAGGCAAAATCGAGATGGACCTAGATTTCTAAAATGCCCCAATATTACATGGTGTCATTTCCATCAAAAATTAAGAAATACATACAATGTGCTGAGGCATTTCAAGGGCCATATCCCATGTAAAATGTAGAAATTAACCTTTGAGAACTAAAAATTTAATTGTCATTAAATCATACTTGTGTTTAGGAACCTTACACATACTTTATTTCGCTGAATCTTATTTTACAGTTATAAATTTATTTATTTATATCAAATTTATGCCACTTCACATCTCCAAAGGAATCTCTTAAGTGGTTTACAGTCTGTCTTAAACAACCAAACTGAAAATGACCAAAAGTATATATATATCAAACACTATGAATGAGAATCAGATACAAATACAACCGTGATCCACGTTTAAAGTAGCATAATTAACACATAAAAAGAAAATATTCTCTTAAACATTAAAAAAGAAAATCCACAAAAAAGTTCCTGGTAGCATTACGCATGATTTAGAAGCAGCTCATTCGCCCCCTTCATCTAAGACAAAACAGTATCATACAAACACCTTTGGAAAGAACGGAAGGATATACATTTAATTAATAAATAAATTCATCCTGCCATCTCTGACTCAGGTAGGGCCCTACTCTATACTGATTCAGATTCTTCCCCTAAGTGGCATGAAGCTCAGTTGGTTAGAGCATGCCAAGAGATAATGCCAAGGTTGCAGGTTAGATCCCAGCAAAAGATAGCTGCATATTCCTGCATTGCGGGGGGGGCTGGACTAGATGACCCTTGGGGTTTCTTGCAACTCTACAATTCTATGATTCAAGCAACATTAAAACACTCAGGAACGTTGCAATGCAAACTCTCACTCCGGGTTGCAAAACGCATGCATAATTCAAGTTGCCATCCCATAATACGTAACTCACTTTTGTATACCAGATGATTAAATTCAAAAATGCAAAATTAAAGAGAGTGGTACCCTCACCCTCATGGTGACCCCAATAGGGATAAATCTCTTTGACGTCTCTCCTTGGGGGACAGGGGTCAACAACACTGGTGGTCTGCACTAGAACTGCAGTGGTCCTCTAATTTGGTTTGTGGGCAGGAACACCAGTCAATTAGCTGTAACTGTCTCCACTCTCCTACTCCTGGCTGGCAGGGGAATTGGGAACAAGGTGGGCAGACAGGTGGAACAGTCTCTCCCAGGATCCCTTACTAGCCGCAACAGTCAGACAAAGCAGGGCAGTGTCTTCTCAGAGGCAAGACTGCATTATATTTATAGTTTATTTTGGCACTTTTATTTTATAATTGCCCTTTACAATAGACTAAGTAATTGTGTCATGGCCGTGGTGTCATTAGGTATAACTTTTTCAAAAAATAGTGCATATCATTTTCCCCCTCCTTACATTTCAGCCCTGATAAAATGCTTAAAATCTACAAGGGAATACTTGTGAGAAGTTTCTCCATGTTTCTAAAATTTTGGCCTGCCAATCCAGTTGATTAACATTAAAATTTAATCAAAACAGAGCCATTTATATTGCAATTAAAGCTCTTCCACTTGTGGCAGAGGAAATTAGCTGTATAAAAGCCCAGTGCCTGAAACCAAGTGTCACTCTCCCAATTTTCCATCATAGTGAAGTATGGCCAAGAAACAAGACCAGAATGTCCCTAGAGCCAGTGTGGTGTAGTGGTTAGAGCGGTGGACTCGTAATCTGGTGAATTGGGTTCGATTCCCCACTCCTCCACATGCAGCTGCTGGGTGACCTTGGGCCAGTCACACTTCTCTGAAGTCTCTCAGCCTCACTCACCTCACAGAGTGTTTGTTGTGGGGGAGGAAGGGAAAGGAGAATGTTAGCCGCTTTGAGACTCCTTCGGGTAGTGATAAAGCGGGATATCAAATCCAAACTCCTTTGCAAGCAGGAGAAGACTTAGACCCCATCCCAATGGGACACCCCTTTATTTTCTCCCAAATAAGTGAGGGCTGCCATTCATCCCTACAGTGAAAGTTCACAGAGAAATGTCAGTCCCCACTGGTCCATTGATTGGCAGTAGCGTGCCAGAATTTCAGACCCAAAGATGCTGAGGATTAACGTGGGACCTTTTGCAAGCACAGAATATACTCTAGCACTGTGGTATGGAGATTTCCCAAAGTAATGTGCTGCACTTGTGGAAAGCGTGCCTATGAGTGTTAACAGCGAGTGACCCAGGTCTCATTGACAAGAGATCCTGTACAGATGCACATTCCCCCCTCCCCCAGACCGCAGGGATCTGTGAAATATATAAGCCTTCATTCTGCATCTTGTCATAATAATGGACATTTTACTAGTATCCAATAATCTGAAGAAAGGACTAATGATCAGACTAGCACACCTGCTGCAGTGGTGAAGATTTATCACTATTGTAATGAAAGACATAATTATAAGAGAGATCATAGAAGTCTCTGTGACATTTATGACCAAAGAGATAAAATCTTCAAGTGTCGACCATGTCTGACGCTCAAATTAAAATGTTACATATATATACTCCCAGCAGATCTTGTGACACACACAGTTTATTCTCTCTCCCCCACCCCCACTTTCTGTTCACGATGTGTCAGAGAATTGTAAATTGACACTAATTATATGCAACGCCTGCACAGTTCCTTGGCAGCTCTTGGTCGAGGAAGAGGCAAACTTGAATTAAAAACAAGCTAAGAATCACAGAGGATGCAATTAGCACGGGAAAACCTGGCACCACTCAAGTATAGAAAACACAAGGAGTGTCTTAAAGGTTGATAGTGCAATTAATTTAGATCTAAACAGCCGCAATTTGGAAACCATATACATCTGTGATGAGGTACCCATGAACAGACAGTGCAGCAACACTGACAAATCAAGCTGGCACCTTCCCTTACCTGCCTGGATGATGAGCTTTGCACATTCATTACACGGAAACAAGGCAACATACATGCTGCAGCCTTTCACATCAGCAGAGTTCTTGTTCATTATGGCGTTCAGTTCAGCGTGACACACTGATTAAAGATAAAAAGAACCCAACAAATATTCATATGAGCGTTCATTAAAGTGAGTCATCAATCTGAAACTTAACAAAGTGTTACGCCGCAAATGCCTGCGTCCTTCCAGAAGCAAACAGCCAGCACAATCTGTCACACCAGAGAGAAATTTAAAGTGGGGAAGGGGAGGGGAAATAATCCAGAAATACCAAGATCAATGAAGGTCAAGCAATCTGGCCAGGCTTGCAGTGAGTAATGAAATCATTAAGCACATTAACATGGCCATTTGTGAACACCTACAGGACGAAGCAAAGCCATAGGCTGAAGGCCAAGTAGTTTCAGTCACCCTAAGTGTGGCAATATCTCACGGCACCAGTGCTCCCAGAGAGCTCTAATTGCCATTATAAAGGAGCTCATTTGTGTGTTTACATGCATGGATAGGAATGTTCTTTTGATTATGCAAGTGCACTCTGTGTTCTTAAGAGCAGAGGGAATTATGAAGTAAAGCCAAGCAGCTCTCACCTCCAGGTAAGATAGCTGGCAATGAAGCTTGAGAAAAAGCGACCAGCACTAAGAATGCAGTTTAGACAATCATTTTGTACCGTTACCATCTTCACTAGCACCTATTAAGACTGTCTTAATTGCTACAAGGTCATCTTGGAACAATCCAAAAGTGAAGAGGTTATTTCTAATTTCCAAGAAGCACCATATTAGGCTCCTGTGAAAGAACAGTAACACCGTAAGGAAAACTCATTTTTGTTGTTGTGGAGAAATCATATTGTTTCCAAGGTTTTATATAAGGGTTAACAGTTATGTAAACTGTCCTGGGTTTTCTTCTAGAGCTGTGGAGATAAAATGTTATCAGCAGGAAGCCAGCAGGTCACCTGAGTGACAGCTTAACTGCTGTTGTTTACACTGCTTCAAAAAGGAGATAACTAACTGAGTGAGATTTCTGTCTTTTTAAACAGGTGCTAAGGCATCAGAAGCTAGTAATTTCTAATTGGTTAGCTAGCAGGTGCTCTGCTTCATTCTTCTGCATAATAGCTATAGGCCAATAAGGGGACACAGTTCTATCCAAATTTAAATGTTCGGCACCAGAGAATCATTATTTAAAGAAATCATTAAAAAGTAAACTAGCTAGTTCATGGGTAGGCAAACTAAGGCCTGGGGGCCGGATCCAGCCCAATCGCTTCTAAATCATGTTTTTCCTGTTATTATTCTGTCTCTCACAGCTACAATAAACCAACCATCAAAATTATGGACTGGTCATTCCTTCATCGGAGGGCAAACGGGCAAATTTATCAGGGGATCAAATACTTTCCCCCCCTCACTGTAAGTGTTCCAGTTTTCGAACGTTTTTAGGAAGCCAAACGTCTGATGCAGCTGTTGGCTATTGTTTCCAGGGCACCTGCACCAATCAGAAGCTGCACCTTGGTTTTCAAACATTTCGGAAGCCAAACAGACTTCCGGAACAGAAGGTTAATTTGTTTTTGTGACTGTGTGGAACCCAGTTCAGCTACTGATAGATTGATTGTGTGACTGCAGGAATGGATAAAAGCTCCCCATCCAAACAATGACTATCATCAGTGCAGGTAAGAATGTTTTTTTTAATCTTCTATAATACTGTCTTATTTATTTTATAGTATAGTACATTGATTATTGCTTTCATGTTATGGATCAGTGGTCTTGTTAGATAGTAAAATTCATGTTAAACTGCTGTTTTAGGGGTTGTTTTTAAAAGTCTGGAATGGATTAATCTGTTTTGCATTACTTTCTATGAAAAAGCGCGTCTTGGTTTTGGAACGGACTTCCGGAACGGATTAAGTTTGAGAACCAAGGTACCACTGTACAGTGGACCCCCCCAGATACGAATTAAATTCGTTCCAGGGGTCCGTCCGCAACCCGAAAAGTCTGTAGGCAGAGGCACCGCTTCTGCGCACGGTGCGATGGAGCGCTTCTGCGTGCACACGCGGCACACAGAGCGCTTCTGTGTATGTGGCGAAACCCGTAAGTATATACTTCTGGGTTTGCCATGTTCATAACCCGAAAGTTACGTATCCAGGGCGGTATGTAACTAGAGGGTCCACTGTATTTTGTTCTACATTTAACTTAAGCAATTTGTTTGCAAAGGAGGTGGGGGATGTATTTTGAGATAAAACAGAGGTTGCCCACCTTTTTGGACCACTGGACCCATTTGTAATTTTGGGCACCAGTAACAAAATGGCTGTTGTGAGGTGTGTAGGAGAACAAAAAATGTATGCCACGTTGAAAGAGCAGTAAAAGGCAGGACCGCAATATGGTGAGGCTTGTCCCACCTCATCTGCCACCATCATTAATGGTGGGGAAAGGACACATAAATCAGGCAACACCTCACTCACTGAAAGAAGCTCTTTGCACATCTATGTTCAGAATGGAAAGTGGATGCACAATCCTAGCATCTAATGAAATGTGGACATGTTTAAGGGGGCTTTGAGTAATCTACCTGAACAATGGCACTATTGCTTTAAACGAACATGCATTTTAGCGCGCTCTCTCTCTATATATATATACACAACAAAACTTAACAAACACTACTAATTGCTCATTTCTTAATACTATTCACATATGGCACTAACCTAATTAAAATACTACTACAGTCCAATTTTATTTTGCATTGCCTAGCCTGTGTTGTGACTTGTAATATGCTTTTCCTAAAACACATATTTACAATTAACACTGAAACTCTTGTAAGGTTTGAAGAAATTCTGTTCAACTTCAGTTCTTACAAAGAATAAATACTATAGTTGCCCGATTTTGGGTAGATAAACAAACATTTATTCTACTTACACTAGCTGCTAGGCAAGCATTCCTATAGGCTTGTACAAATAAAACAAAAAGCTTAAGATGACATTATGTGAATGCCTGTTTTTTTATAGAGGAAAATTTGGTTGTAAAAGCCTCTTTCTTTAATATGAAAGAGAAAAATGTTTTACAAATAAAAGCAAGGATATTACAGTGGTACCTCGGGTTAAGTACTTAATTCATTCCGCAGGTCCGTACTTAACCTGAAACTGTTCTTAACCTGAAGCACCACTTTAGCTAATGGGGCCTCCTGCTGCTGCCGCGCTGCCGGAGCACGATTTCTGTTCTCATCCTGAAGCAAAGTTCTTAACCTGAAGCACTATTTCTGGGTTAGCGGAGTCTGTAACCTGAAGCGTATGTAACCTGAAGCGTATGTAACCCGAGGTACCACTGTACTTAGTAAGTAAAAACAATAAGCGATCTGGTATAGATATTGTATTCCTTACCATATGGATATTTTGTGTCAAGTTTACTATCTGCTGTTCTGGTCCAAGGTAGCAAGTCATCACTGCATCCATTAGGCATGCCATTGTATCCAATCCCAACAATCTTGTTTTCTGAATTCACAATACATGCACCAACCTGAAATGAAATGAACAACTTTGTTTCTTGTAATAGGTCAGATATTTTGGTGATCCCATACTCACCTGGTTTCTCTGCCAAGGCAAGTGGTACCCACCCTGTTGTAGCTGAAGCTATACTTCCCCATAAAGGAAACCCAAGTGAGCCTGGTCTGACCTTGAGCATCAACACTGAAAATGTTCAAGCACTATGTAAGCATCATTTGAGACCGTGCTTCTTCATTCAAACTGCACCATCCTGAAGAGAAAAGGTTCCTAGCATAACAACTCAATTCAAAAACATGGAAGGTACAGAAATGCTTTTTATTGTGATGCTTTGTAGGCTAAGTTGGTCTGTTCCTACTTAGTGACATGCAGGTAAAAATGCAAAAGTCAGAACCTCAGTAAAAACGTACCATATTACATGGCTAGATCAAACTATAATCTCAAATACACTAGCTTATTCTTCAATTATTTTCATCAGATGCATTATCTGTAAACTGTAAGTATTTTTACTTCTTGTGGGGGAAAGGAACCACACAGCTCCTCATCTAGTACTATAAAAGAACAATCTTCCCAAGAAAAAACAGCTCAAGTTACAACTTGATAGATAAAATCCTCATTGTAGTTTCCTCTTTGCTCTAACTTTGGATATCCTTGTAATTAGATTGTGTTGAACGACTAGAAACTTATTGCCATATAAATTTATGAGAGACAGTGCAACATAAGCTACCTGGGCACTATATTCTTACCTGAGAATTTGGATCTTTGCTTCTTTGTGCCGACAAGAAAGCTACAGCCATGAAATATTCAGGCCACTCCAAATAGTCATCACGTTTTTTACAGGGTGTTTCACAGCCATACCTACAAAAGCCAAATCAAATGAATGACACTAATGGTTACGATTTGCATGAATTGTTTTATTTTTTAAAAATAGTCTATTAGGTATACTTTGACCCCAGTGTTTGAGTCTCTGGAAATAAGTCAATTACCATGATGTAAAATTCCAGAGTGGCATGAGGGTTTAATTAGTACAACTAAGAGAGCAGCATCTGACCATAAAGGTTATAAATTCAGATCAAGAATTTAATAGTGGAGAATATCAGTGTTCCACATCTGCCCAGTGCCATATGAGCAAAACTTCTTTTTCAACCAAAAAGGCCAAAAGGAGACTAAATTATCTCATTTAAAGCAGCAATTTGCAGTCTTTAGGCAGCGCAGTGCCAACTATTATCTATCCCTCAATGTTACCTTCTTTAGAGAAATATGCAAAAGGTTACGTTCTTTGCTCCAGCATTACTGACAGTTAAGTTGCTTGAGCAAAGATACCTCTTAGACCAGCTATTCTAATTGCAAGCATATGGTGCGATATCATTTGTTACAGCTAAAATATAAAAATAGAATATGAGGCACTCTTTGCTGAACATTTCTGGGGGTATCACTGTCTGCTAAGAATGGTTTTCAGTTACACTGCCCATAAATAGTGTTGCCAATGTGCATTCTAATGTGAGGAGTCAAGTCTTTGAATCTCTCTATAGGAGTCTATAGACAGTAATGGCCCTTTTGCCAAATCTCTACAATTGGGAAGCATGAATAGGCAGGTGGAACAATTAACCCCAAATAGGAGCATTTCAAATAAACTCATTTCTCAAACAAATACATGGTCTAAAAGAGAAAAGCCTATGTGTACGAGTTTCATTCTTTAGATACATAACTAGAATAGAGCAGGAAAAAACCTTAAGAGTGTGAGAAGTGGTCTGTGACTTGCAAGAGGTTTTGTTTTCCATGGTGTGTACTGCACACACCAAATATAAAGGTAAGGGGACCCCTGACTGTTAAGTCCAGTCACAGACGACTCTGGGGTTCCGGCGCTCATCTGCTTTAGTGGCCGAGGGAGCTGGCGTTTTGTTTGCGGACAGCTTCTGGGTCATGTGGCCAGCATGACTAAGCCGCTTCTGGCGAACCAAAGCAGCGCACGGAAATGCCGTTTACCTTCCTGCCGGAGCGGTACCTATTTATCTACATGCACTGCATGCTTTCGAACTGCTAGGTTGGCAGGAGCAGGGACTGAACAATGGGAGCTCACCCCATCGCTGGGATTTGAACCGCCGACCTTTCGATCGGCAAGCCCTAGGCTCTGTGGTTTAGACCACAGCGCCACCCGCGTCCCTTACCAAATATATCCACCAAATATATCCACCCCAAATTTTGCCAGGTACACAAAGAAGCAGCCTCCCTCTTTCAGCTTGCCTTCAGCTCCTTGAAAAAACTAACATGTCTCCCAGCCTCACCTTTTGTCACTCAGCCATAGCACCTAAAACTCTAATTTGTAGGTTTTGTACATACCAAGACACCTGTCGTGCCAGCATTTCCTAGGGCACCTCAACCGCATCCAGCATCTCAGAAAACAGAAAGTGACAGCTTTGAAATAACTCCTTTAGAAGTCACCAGCAAGAATCATAGAGTGCAGCAGAGTGGCACTCCTCTATTTTATTCCTAATGTACAAAACAAACACTGACATTTTTTTCATGCTTAAATCCTATAGTAAAGGTTAATCCTTCCACCTTTCTGTAATTGATTTTTAGGCACAGAACAACCTAGAAGGCAAAAAAACCCACTAATAGTGTTTCATACTGTGGTTGTGATATATTGGAACAGATCTTTTGCTCCCATATAAACTATTGCACATTTGAGTCTCACATGTACCAGGTAGAAATGCTTAAAGATGACTAAGAAGGCACATAAAGACGTAACTATCCTGCCCCTTGCCGTTGATACTTAAACACATACAATCTTTGAAGTGAATGTTGATCTCCTCTTCATCCCTCCTTCAAGGGATAACAACAACAACAACAACAACTCTCTTATTTATACCCTGCCCATCTGGCTGGGCTTCCCCAGCCACTATGGCTGGGATGATTGATTTGCTGTTTGTTTTAGTTTGCTTTCAAGCACTTTGCATACTTAATATTTAGATTTTAAGAAAGTTTCAAAACACTTTTAATGCATACTGTTCTTTACTCTTGAAACAATACTTTTAGAGTGGAGAGTGGGGACAAGGGCATTAGCTTCACCACTATCCCTATCAATGAGTTGGAGCGCATCTGTTTGCCGTGAAGTGTCTCCTTTATTCGTGGAAGCTTCCCACACAATACAGAACTCTGAAAAATAAGTTGTACATTGTGTGGAAAGGCTACGTGAGTAGAAGCAGGCTCCCCATTGCAGAGAGCCATTCTCCAATGACAAGGGCAAGGAGGCAAGCATGTGCAGCTCTCATTTCTATTTCCTTGTTAGTATACAGTGGTGCCCCGCAAGACGAATGCCTCGCAAGACGGAAAACCCGCTAGACGAAAGGGTTTTCCGTTTTGGAGGTGCTTCGCAAAACGAATTTCCGGTGTGCTTGCTTCGCAAGACGAAAATGTCTTGCGAGTTCCTGGGGTTTTTTTCCTTTCTCTCCCCCCCCTTTTTCCCAAGCCGCTAAACCGCTTATCAGCTGATGGGCTAAGCCGCTTAACAGCTGGTCGCTAAGCCGCTTATCAGCTGATCTTAAGCCGCTTAACAGCTGGTCGCTAAGCTGCTTATCAGCTGATCTTAAGCCGCTTAACAGCTGGTCGCTAAGCCGCTTATCAGCTGATCGTTAAGCCGCTTATCAGCTTTTTCCCAAGCCGCTAAACCGCTTATCAGCTAATGGGCTAAGCCGCTTAACAGCTGGTCGCTAAGCCGCTTATCAGCTGATCGTTAAGCCCGCTAAACCGCTAATGGGCTTGCTTCGCAAGACGAAAAAACCCGCAAGACGAAGAGACTCGTGGAACGGATTCTTTTCGTCTTGCGAGGCACCACTGTAATGCCTGAAGAGGGCTTTAGCACTGTGTAAATCCAGCTTCTTCGGTGAATGGACTTCTTCAGAGTTTGATTCAGGTTGGAGACTCAGACTGAAACCCTACTCAGGCGAGCCTATTCACAAGCTGAATCACTGCACGAGGAGGGCTGAACTAACTTTGCACCTGACATCACACCTTCCCACTACCTGGTATTTGCACAAATGCATGTGTGTGCAGCAAATGGGTTACATGTCAGTCTTTGTGTGTACAGCTACATGTGCAAAGACCCTCTTCTTGAAAACGTTCATATCCAGGGCTAATCAGACAAGGCAAGACTGGTTGGTGTATCCCCACTCCCTGCCCACATACTAATTCAACTTGAACAGGGCATATATACCATTATGGGGCAAATGAGCTTCCATGGTGAGCTCATTATGTGTCTTTCTACACCCAAATTTTCTTTTTCCTGGTACAACAGAAATAATTTTCTTCTTCATTATGCCCCTTCCACACTGCTATCTATGGAAATGTCTAGAGAAAAATTATAAGAACAAGCTCTCTTCTCAACATTTTTACTCCTTGGGGAAACCACCTGAAGGACAATCATTGCTTTAGTCTAAACTAAGACATAGGAGGTATAAGGTATATAAATTAGATTTAGCTAAGACACCAGTCAAGACAAAAGCAATTTGTTCATTACATCATGACAGAGATTCTAGTTTAAAGGCACAGGTGAGCTTAGACTTGAAATTAAACTATTTCAGCTCTTGCTGAACAAGGTTTCAGTATGAAAGATAGCATTCTTTCTTGGAAGACAGACACAATGGATGGATTCAGATGACTTATTCCCTCAGGAGAACATAGAACCATCAATTTACAAGAACTAGCATCTTCAGAGGACCAAGCCAATCTGCAAAAGGCTCCAAGGTCACTAAAATTGTGGCTAATTAGATTTGCTCCTCCTATACTGAACATAGTGTAAGTCATCCTGATGTGAAATAAGGAATCTTGCAGAAATGAAAATTAAGGCTAAGGTACCAAATAGAATTCCTTAAAGTAAAAAGGGGTGGGGGTGGGAATCCTACAACCATTATACTGTACTGTTATGAGTTGGGGGGGAGGGGGTGTAGGCTGTATGAGATCCTTCAAACCCCTGGATCCAGCAAGTTTTTAAACTATAACCCAGACTAGCTTCCTGTGTTGAGGTGGTGGCCTGGGTGATGGACCATTAAGGAAAACAAAGGAAAAGAGCTTTGAGTGAGACAGCAAATGGGTGAGGCCCCTCCCTCAACACACAGACAGTTAGAAGGACAAAGCCTGAGTTTAGAGTTAAGGTGCAGTGATTTGACTTGGAAGTAAAGCAGCAAGCTGCAGAGAAAGTCAGTTTTGATTTCGGTTTGAATCCAAGGCTTGGGCTATGGGAGAAACAAGATCCTTTTAGAGTGCTAAAGCTGTGAACCCTTCCATTGTAGACTCAGGTTATATATGTGTAAATAAACCATGTATCATAAAGGAACCAGAGTCTCCGCTGTACCTCATCTCCAAAAAGAAACACAAGTCCTAGGTACGTGTCTAGAACATAGCTGTCAACCGTCCCTTATTTGGCGGGAAAGTCCCTTATCCCAGCACTGTGTCCTGCTGCTGTCCCTTATTGATGATGTCCCTTAAATTTCCCAGGTTTCAAAGGAAGCAGCTCCTCTCCCTCCCTGCCTGCCGGCCAGGGAGGAGGGAGGTTCCAACTGTGTTGCTTGGCTGCGTTGCTCACCCAATAAGGAGTCTAAGAACGACTGGGGGGTGGAGCTTGCATGCCTTGTGCCAATCAAATCAGCTACATTGCCTGGGGACTCACATTTGCTCAGCGCTTTCCAGCGGAGAGGTGACGGTGGTTTTCCTTGATGCATCCCCTTTGCTGGGTTGCTCACTGCGGGAACCACCGCTTGAGGCTTCTTTTGGCTGCTGGCTGGGCTTTCAGCCTTTGGCTCGGAGGGGCTCAGAAGTTAAACATACATGTGTTCGGAAAATCCCTTATTTTGGTTGCTGGTCCCTTATTTTCAAATCTGTAAGTTGACAGCTATGGTCTAGAGCCCCTGGAATCTTGCACCACTCAGAAATTTGTGTGGCATACAACAATACTGTACTATCAATAAACTACTCTGTTAGTATATAGATGGGAAGTAAGGAAGCTCTAGTATTTTTTTTATAAAGACTGAGACATCAAAGCTTATCAACAACCTGAATTGCATTCTCCACTATTCTGCTTCTTTGCTGCTAATTTAGATTTATTTGAGTAAGAACAAAGAGCATGGTCTGCTATCTTAGAGAAGAGCTTTAAGACTCTTAGACAAAGCTCTATAAACCAGTGGTAGAAAAAAAAAGCTTTTAACACATATTCAATCTTATGTCTAATCCTTGACCACCTGTAGAATCAAAGAATTGTAGAGTTGGAAGGGGTCTGAGGGTCATCTAGTCCAACCCACTACAATGCAGGAATTACAGCTAAAGAATCCCTGACACATGGCAAGCCAACCTCAGTTTAAAAACCTCAAATGAAGCAGAGTCAATCTGGTCAAGGAAAAGCCTCTTTCTCAAAGCTGTTAAGAGACACTGCTCTTAAGGTAAGATAAAAGTTAACTGGTTAAAAGACTGGCTTAAATTTGTACGAAGCCAGCTCATTTAAGAATTACCTTGTTCATAAAACATGTATGCATTCTGTGACCCATATGTACCTGCCCATAATGCATTACAAACTCTCTGAATTTGCTCATTTCAGACTCATAAACAGAGAAATATTAATAACTGTCTCTCGGTAGTATTTTATATTACTCAGCTCACGAATTCAGATATAGTAAGGCTTTGGCAATACTCCACCTACCAAAGACCACATTCATCACCTTGGCTAGATTCCTTTGGACATTATTAACCTTCCTTCCTTCCTTCAAGGGCATCAACTGCTTCCTTTCCTTTAGATTTGTCTCCTTTCATTTCACAATCAAAATGAAGCTGAAATGCTTGCATAGAAAGGCCTTTTTTATCTAAATAGTTGTGTATGTTTTTTTAATTGCATGCTACCCCCTGCTCAGAATATTGACTGTAATCAAAACCTTTATAGAAGATAATATTGTTTAGTTTTATGGATTTCCAGGCTTTTGGCAATAATCAGTCCCGCCTGACACCATCAGAACATAATTTTTCTTCCTGAAATGCACTGAGAGTTGCATCCACAACACTGTGCTGTTCATTTAATTATTTTGGTGCTTTTTATGCCTGTGTCTCTGGGAGAACATCACAGCAAAGCTAGCTCAAAGAGCTATTTAGGGAATAGCTAAATGATATATTTTAAGATAATTCTGTATATTAGTAGTGCCCCTAATTTTGCAGCATCACTGTGAAGTACAGTCTCATAAAGTTCCCCTGTAGATTTATTTTATAGCCCAGATATCCTCTATTCTTCTTTATGTTATACATTTTCATTTCCTCAGCTACCCTTCATCTGGATCATCCCTTACAATGCATCCAAGCAAGGAGCCTCAATTATATTTTTGCCATTTGGTGCCTTTACTCATGTACTTCACATATTCTGCCTCTCACACTCACATTCACAGTCAACTTCTTGCATATCTTTTATACACTGTTATTCTAAATCTCTTTCCCTTTTTAACATCCATGATGCCTACTGACAGTATTTCATCAGACCAAGAGACAACAACCCCCTGCAACATTTGAAAAGGTGGTTCAGCCTGTGTGGAGCAGGGCATATTGTTTGAAAAAATATGAATACAGTGGTACCTCAGGTTACATACGCTTCAGGTTACATACGCTTCAGGTTAGAGACTCCGCTAATCCAGAAATAGTGCTTCAGGTTAAGAACTTTGCTTCAGGATGAGAACAGAAATCGTGCTCCGGCGGCGCGGCAGCAGCAGCAGGAGGCCCCATTAGCTAAAGTGGTGGTTCAGGTTAAGAACAGTTTCAGGTTAAGAACAGACCTCCGGAACGAATTAAGTACTTAACCCGAGGTACCACTGTATTAAAAGTCCCTTCAGACGACCATTGCCCACTCAACACCAAATTACACAGGCATTTTAGAATGCTTCAACTTCCACCATCACACACACACACTCACGCACACACACTGTATGCTGCATCAGTTACATGACAAGTGGGACCAGCAATGAAATGTTGCAACGCAGAGTGCTTCCTCTTCCAGCCACCCATCCACCAATACCCTCTTAATGATAGCCCATCCCTTATACCGGGCCGAGACTACTTATAACTTCTGAGGCCCTAATCATAATAAAATTTAAAAACAATGACACATGAAAACAAAATAAGGTATTTTTAATTCCATAATATGACAAAATCTCCATCACTTAGCAAAAAGAAATATATGTGTCTTTTACCAAATCACATCTCTTATTCGCTGAAATTTGCAGCGCTCAGCTGAGAGAAGGCATCACATTTTGGTACAGTGCACATAAAAACATATCACAAAATTTACCAATGAGGAAAAAAAAGAAGTGCTGGCAAGAGCACTTACTGAATTTTGTCCTAGCCACTTTAAGGCATCACTCAGTTGGTACCTCAATATACTCCCTTTATTTTCATTCTTTTATATCAAGGGAGCAGTGTTAGAAACCGAGATATGAAAGCTAGGAGCTAAATGGCACCTTAAGCCTAGGTTATGAGCGCAACAATGGAATGTCTAGGCGCGTTTCTTTTATAACAAGAATACAAAACTGAAAATGTATGAACTGCAGCTAAAATATTATGTTCATTTTTCACATGGTCCCTAGTCCTTCCCCTGCCCACCCCCCTAATATTCTTAAGAGGGTCTCTCCTCCAGTCTTCAGAGTGTGGCTGGAAGTGAGGAGACAGAAAGGGTCCTTTCCTCCCTCTGCATTTTTAATCTGAAATCCTAGGCACAGTACTGCACCCAGAGCTCAGAAACTGCTTGAGCTAATGAAATTCCCTGTCGCAAAACGCGCCTAAGAACAATGGGAGTTTTGAACGCTGCAAGGGAGCCATCTCTCTTGAACCACACATTGGGCAAAAAAATCCTGCATTGTAGGGGGTTGGATTAGATGTTCCTTGTGGTCCCTTCCAACTCTACGAATCTACCCATCACCATGGCCTGCAAGAGACTGCCGCTACATATTCCAGACAATCATTCACTACCCTGGCTGTGAATACATGATGAGCAAGGAATGGAAACCAGACTACACCAGACAGAGCATAGGCAAGAGAGTAGTGAGAACAAAAGGCAAGGGCTACAGAATTTCTAAACCAGAACCAGTTGGAAAGAATCCTTTCAGTCCCCACTAACTCATCTATTATTATTATTATTATTATTATTATTATTATTATTATATTTATGATTTTCAGTTTTATACATTTCAATAATTTTACAACCATTTTAACATTTCAAAACTCGGCTTCCTTCCCCCTCTTTCTGCGGATCCTTAAATTTATTTTTAAATATTTTCTGCATCTACAGTTGGCATCACCATCAGAACCACTACTTAACTAGAAGCAGCCATTGCTTCTTTCCTGCTCTGCCCCTTTATCTACTCTGACTGCGGATACAAACTGGTTTGCCAAAGTGACTTTATAAAGCGACTTACAGGCTATCTGTGTTAAGCAAGGTTGGCTCTGTGCAATAATAAGACATCACCGCATGGGCAGGGAAACCCACGACAGAGACGGAAGTAAGTTGAATTGCCTTCAGAAACATGTGATTAGAAAAGAAAGAAGTTTCTAACCAGAAACATTTTTTAAAAACTTATTTATACAGCCGACTGAAACAACAGGATAGCCCGTTCAGAGACGCGGCAATCCCATATCCATTTACCTGAACTCTGTGGGACTTGCATATAAGCAGGAAAAGAGCTCGTTACATAAATCAAGAAAAGATTCAGACGGAAGTTCAAGGGGTTGGGAAACGAGGGAATAAAAGGAAAGTTTCCAAATTCCACGGAAGGGGATCAATGAGCAGACGTGTGGGGGGGGGATGTTTTTCCAAGTCACTTTCCCCTCCTTGCAAAAAAATCCCCATAAAAGCGGGCGAGAGGAAAGAGATTTTTCTAAGCAAGCCATTCCTTATGCCTGGAGGGAGAAGCAAGGAAAGTTATGAGGAGGGAGACCCACCACCGTGCGCCTACCCATTCAGGCAGCTCGCCTGCGTCTGAACCCCGCCATTCATCTCGCTGCCGTCTGAGGCAGGGACAACGTCACGGCCCCGAGGAAACGCCGGCTCCATGCTGGACACGTCCGCTTTACAATTTGGCGCCAAATCGGCAGCTCGGGGAGGAGGAGACTTGAAACCACGCGCATTGATAACTTTTCCGAGGCCTCTCGGCGCTTTCTCTGCCCGATTCCTCGAAAGCGCGCGGCGACTCAAGGAGCGGATGGACAAAAGTCGAAGCGCTCCAAAAAGTTAAGTCCGGACTCGGACTACATTTCCCAGGATGCATTGCCCTCCGCGTCGGAGGGGGGATTGTGAACCACGGAACTCCTGGCATGCTGGACGTTGTAGTCCTCAGGGGGCAGCGGGCGCTCAAACTTAGTGAATCAAATCGACTAAAGCGGACGCAGTTTTTCTTTGCAAGGCAAGGCCTCGTTTCAGTGGTGCTCACGCTGCGTTGTTCAGCAAATGCTGGACGTGCCTTGTTTTAGGGGTGTCCTGCCCGTGTATCTTTGTTGTCTCCGTAATGTTCATCTTTCAGAGCATCGCAGCTTAGTAATTTCTTTTCAGAACAAATTCAGAAAATTGTGGTCCTGTGCATGTGTGTTCCTTAAACTCCTCACCCTGTTGTATAATTCCATCACTGACAGCCTTTTAATGTAAGTGTGCAACAGGTTGGCTTAAAATGAACATGTTTACGTAATTAAAAAGTCACTGTTGGGTTCTTATGGAACAGGAGCTGGCAGCATTTAATGTGCAACATAAATGGAACTGGAATGATTCCTCCTCCCCACCACGCTTTTCCCTCTGAAACGTATGTTCTTAAAATATTTGCCACACACTGACTGTCCCAATGTACAATATTTTTTCTTACATTAGTGACTGTTATGAAAATAAATAAATCAACTGTTATAAATACTGGTCTGAGTATATACTGAGCTGGTCCACCCTATCTGTATTGATTATTGTACATTTAATGACTAGCAGTGAGTATAGATATCTGAATCAATCTACCGAGGAACAACTTTTCTCGATATTTATTAATCCATTTTTATATTTCTACAACCCTAATGTTATAATTATATTTTATATGGGAATATCTGCTGTACTTGAAAGATGTGCAGTGTAATTTCCATTTTTTTTATTTCAGGAGCCAAAACACCTCTGAAATGTCTAAGTCTCTAAGATATATAAAAAATACATTTAGACACTTTTAGGAACTTTAAAACAACATTCTACAGTATTCGTTTTGATTGCCCTTTCAAAATTACTAACAGCTTTTTACCATCTCACTAACACTAAGCTCATAAATTGGTTTATGATGGCATGACATTAATTCGTTGCTAATAAGTTTTGAATTTCTCTGGGATAGTCAAACCTGAACCAGGTTTAATAGCTCAGGCTGTGGCTAAGCTCATGCATTCTTGTCCTTGCTTTTGTTTCTGACACAACTGGAGCCTTCAGGGTTATGTTAGAGTAAACTGTGTTGGCCTCGTATCATATTGTTACAAGTTTGTGGGTGCCCTTACCAGGGCCGTCTTTAGCATATGCGCCGCCAGGGTGCAAAGATCCACCCAGCATCCCCAAATTTAGTTTAGCCCCCAAATTCACTTTTATTATGCTTATGTCACTATTATCATTTGATAAATAGCGCTCATGCCTGCGCGGCTCCAAAAGGAGTTTTTTTGTGTTTTTTGTTTAAAACCAGCTTTTCAAAAGAAGACAAATAACGCATTGGAGTAGGTACAAAGACTCCACGCATGTGCTTACGGTTGTAGGGAGGTGTCTGAAAGATGAGACGGATGGGCATTGTGCGCATGCATGGGAAAGCCATCTTGGGCAGCCTTTCATTGTGGGAGCAACCTTATTCCTAGAGGAGCTGGGAGGGCACTTGCGAGCACACATATACGAGTTCTTCTTGGGAAGGTTCCGGAGCCTGTGCACGCTCCCGTCGCTATATAGGCGCACTCTCTTTCTGTCTGTCTCTCCCTCTTTCCTGTCACTCTCCCTCCTCCCGGCTTGGGTGAGCAAGACTTTCCAAACAGGTGCCGAAGACCCCACTGCCACGTAGCAGCTCAATACAATGCAGTGGTACCTGTATTACATATGCTTTGGGTTACACATGCTTGAGGTTACAGACGCTTCAGGTTACAGACTCCGCTAACCCAGAAATATTACCTCAGGTTAAGAACTTTGCTTCAGGATGAGAACAGAAATCACGCGACGGCAGCGGGAGGCCCCATTAGCTAAAGTGGTGCTTCAGGTTAAGAACAGTTTCATGTTAAGAACGGACCTTCGGAATGAATTAAGTTCTTAATCCGAGGTACCACTGTACGCTTAGGTGGCTTAAGCAGCAGGCGCCTGGCGCCCCCCTGACGCCCCGCACCCCTTGTACCCCCGGGTAAAGACAGCCCTGGCCCTCACTCCCTTGGGTTTCTGGGCATCCTGACCTGCTCTAGATGCTCGGGTGCTTGTGTTTAATCAGTGATTTAACAGTGCAAAAATGCAGCCTACAGTAGTTAAGTGGAACAAAGGTACTGATGACCACTCATCAACACATCAAAGAAACATCTTTGGAGTCTGGGCAAATGGGGATTGGCAGGGTTACGGTGGCCATGACACTACATGAGGGGGAATGTGTCCTTTTGAAACAGATGTTTGGAGAAAGGGGGGGTGAGTGGAACTTCTTGGTGGGCTGGCCAAGGCAGAAGGGTTGCAGTAGTGCCTTCTGCCCATTTCCCTTTTTCTATCCACGCTGGTCTGACTGCAAGCCTAATCACAACTTCCAGTTCCGATACAGCTGTCACATCATTGTAAGTGTGAATAGAAATACAGTGGTACCTCGGGTTACATACACTTCAGGTTACAGACGCTTCAGGTTACAGACTCTGCTAACCCAGAAATAGTACCTCGGGTTAAGAAATTTGCTTCAGGATGAGAACAGAAATCGTGCTCCGGCGGTGCAGCAGCAGCAGGAGGCCCCATTAGCTAAAGTGGTGCTTCAGGTTAAGAACAATTTCAGGTTAAGAACGGACCTCCAGAACGAATTAAGTACTTAACCCGAGGTACCACTGTAGGAAAGAAGTCAAATCCCAGTGCTGTGCAAGTGAAATAAAAAGGAATAAGTTTGTGGATCTAAATTTCCCTTTCACATCTACTCTTGTAGACACTACAGTGTGGAGATTTCAGTCTGGCTGAAGATGCTTAAGAAAGGGGATTACCGGAATGAGATGAGGTCAAGATCTTGGCTATTGCAAACCTAGCTCCTGTGTTGCTGTATGCCTAATAAACTGAATGAAACAATGGTTCTACTTGCTGCAAAAGAATATCAAATCCTACTTCCCGAATTGTCTCAAGTCCTTGGGTGATATTTCTAACTTTTAAAAGGGCAGATAATCTCTAGGTACCAGTAAGTATGCATTTGCTCTCTTTCTTTAATCACAATTCACCCTCTGTTGAAGTAGAATTTTGCCCTTAGCCTTTACAGGGGGCATGAAAAAAGGAGGGTGTTTATCACTTACAGAGAATGTCACTAGGCCGTAGTCTTTAAAGCTACCTTTAAAAGTACGGTAGATATTATCTCTGAATAACAGGTTATTGCAAAATAACTCTTAATAAAGTTCTTTGCCCTTTTCCTTCCTTTTTTTTTTTTTTTAAAAAAAAAGTCTTTAATTGTTTTGTTTTTCCTTTGCTCCAAAGAAATAAAAAGTAACTGAGGATGAACAAAGTATTTCAGGATTTTTTTTATATAAAGTGAGAAGTTCGAAAGGTTTGCTGCAGTTGTTGTTGTTGTTGTTGTTGTTTTTAAGGAAATTTTACTCATGGTGCTGTTTACCAGAAGCATATCTAGGATGTTATCAGTAACTACTGTTTCAGGCTTCATGTACGCTACATTTTATTCTAGAATCAATGAAGAATGAGTACTTGTTTTTAATACGTAAAATCTAGATCTGTTGCATATGTTTTTGCCCTGATAAGCGCTTCTTGAAAAACTGGTTTCATTCCAAATAGAAAAGTTCATTGCATGTTGATTCCACATTACTCCAGTGTGTCCATTTGAAAACAAAGGTAGGCTCTCCCAGCAATGGAGGCAGTATCCACACCTGCGCAGTGATGTTGTGCGTGGGTGTATACACCAAGATAGCAATCACCACTTCCTTCTTCGCTCACCTGGGGCATGCGCAAGGAGGAAAAAGCCATAGATAACCTAATCAAGGAGAGGGTTTTCAAATGCATATCAAGTAGCTACACCATCCTTGTGGACAGCAGGATCTAGGAAAAATCTAGATTGAAAGCAGCATGTTGAGGACGAGCATTAATGATTCCAGATTGAGAAAAACATCTCTGATACCAATCGGTTAGTGTGTACAGTATTCAGCCTCATACTCACTACTTCCCTGCAACGCTGCAACCCCATAGTCGCCTTTGACTGGACTTAACTGTCCAGGGGTTTACCTTTACCTTTACTCCCCCTGAGTGGAAAACGTTTGATTTGAGCTTTGAATCCAAACCAAGCGATCCTGATGGGGAGCTCCGTAGTGCAGCTGATTCCAGTGGGTCTCCCTGTCAGCTCTGACTCACAGGAAGCACCACATTTTTAGTTGTTACCTGTTTTGGGCTTTTGAATGGATAGAAGCAGAGAGGCCCTCTTCTTGACACCCTTCATGGAGATCTCTTAGTGACTCCCTTACAGCTCAAAATATCCACTTATAAAGAATCTATAACCCAATATCTGTTGAGGGATGATACTCCCAAAACTAAAAAGATTGTTTCGGGATACTTAGCTGAGATTTTTAAAGCTAAAGCTAAAGTTGTCTGATTTATTCAGTGGTGGTTACCGAGCCTTTTATACATTGTATGTGTTTGGATTATTAATGTATTTGGATGTCTTTGTATGATTTTATTATTTAAACTTATGCCAATAAAGGTTAAAAAAAAATCAGAGAAGCTGCTTAGGCAGAGGAATCTTACACAAGTGGAGCTCTGATTTTGGCCATTTCTTCCCTCCGCCATTGCAGCATTGTATGACTATGATTATGAAAGCGCCCCAGATCCTTCAGAAAGGCTTGGCGATGCATAAGAAGGAAAGGGCAACTCATGGAAGGCAACTGTTTGAAGCAGGGAGATTTTGCATCTGTGAAGCTTTGCTGTATTTTGGAAACCTGATACCTTCATGGACAGAAAAGGATCTCTGTACATTCAGTCACTTTCCATGAGTTGTAAGGCGATTAAAATTATTATTATTCACTT